CTGACTGAATACTGTTCATCTTAGAGTAGATGAACTCTAAGAAGTTTTCTGTGCTTTCCTTTTTTACAAGATTATCAAATATCAAGGAAAAAACTTGTGCCTTAACTATGTACAAGTCTATTACCAATTCTACAAATCCGAAGCATAAAACATTATTTTAGTGTGTGGAAGATATTGTTTTTAAGGACTGGCAGTGATATCTCATTCCCTCAGAGGAAGCTGAATAGTGTTTCTAGTTCCTTATTTGCTATCCTACTTCATTATTACATCTGAAAATGCAAACTGAACTAAGAATTAGAACTTGATCAGACTCGTCATGGTAAAATAATTTTTGATTGTTCCCAAATAATATTTCTAGACCTCTGGGAGAACTCCAGTGGTTAGTTATTCAGCCTGAAAGTTCATTAGGGTTCTCTTGAATGCAGAGCTTATGGGCTGCAGTTCTTGTACTTACCCAGGAAGCTAGTCTTTCAGTCTGGAGAGAGAGCGAAAGAGCGAGAGAATGGAAGCATGTTCAGGACCATGGAGAGTGCATGTTTTAATACGCAACCATTTAAGCATCCCCCTAATCCTGCAGTCTGGAAGCCAAATACTAGACTTATCTACAGATGCAAACTATGTTTTGACAGACACACTTTGCCCCTCCCAAATTAATCCAAGCCCTGACCTGAAGTGACCTCTCGTAAAACCCCAACTGGGTTAGCATAGAATGGGGAGGGAAACCTTTTTGCCCAATGCAGAAGAAAAATCACAAATCTGAGTTCTGCTCAATTGGGCAGTTCTGCTCATCATTTCAAATATATCTCCAATCCATTGTAGGGGGAATGGGGAGTGCAAAGCTGAAAATGTGTATGGAGAACATCCTGGCCTTCTTATGAGTGTTCCTTACCCCCCCCCCCAATTATAGCCAGATGGTGCCATCGCTGGCTATTGGGGGCGAGTTACTGGCCCCCTCAGAGAGGGCTCGCAACTTGGGCATCCTCCTGGATGCACGGCTGTCTTTAGAAGAGCATATGACGGCCGTGGCCAGGTGGGCTTTTCATCAGGTTTGTCTGATTCGCCAGTTGCGTCCTTTTCTGGATCTGGACTCCTTACGTACAGTCACTCTGGCTCTCGTCACTTCCCGCCTGGACTATTGCAATGCTCTCTACATGGGGCTCCCCTTGAGGAGCACCCGAGGCTCCAACTGGTGCAGAATGCGGCTGCGCTGGGAATTATGGGAGCGATGGGCTGCTCCCATGTGACACCCCTCCTGTGCGAGCTGCATTGGCTCCCGGTGGTCTTCTGGGTGCGCTTCAAGGTGTTGGTTACCATCTTTAAAGCGCTCCATGGCATAGGGCCTGAGTACTTATGGGACCGCCTTCTGCCACCGATAGCCTCCCACCGGCCAGTTTGCTCCCACAGAGAGGGACTCCTCAGGGTGCCGTCAGCCAGGCAATGTCGGCTGGCGACCCCCAGGGGGAGGGCCTTCTCTGTGGCAGCACCTGCCCTCTGGAACGACCTGCCCCTGGAGATATGTAGGATACCAGATCTCTGTGCTTTTCGCCGTGGCCTCAAAACTTTTCTATTTCACCAAGCTGGGCTGGCGTAACCCTTCCCCTCCTTAGATATTTTAATTGTAACAGATTTTAGTTGGGATGTTTTAAATTTGGGCCAAAATTTGTTTAATTCTTTTAATAATTTTAAATTTTGTATTGGATGTTTTTTATTCTTGGCTGTTCACTGCCCTGAGTCTAGCAGGAGAAGGGCGGTATAAAAATTTAATAAAATAAATAAATATATATATATATTACGAGACTAGCATAGAAGACAGAATGCAGGGCTGGATTCTGGTCCTACTTTAATTCTAGTATAATGGTGGTAGAACAGATCTTTCTATTTTAGCATTGCTAAGCATTAGAGCATTGGAGAGCAAAACAGGTCTATTCTTGGCTTCTGAAACTTTCTCTTCATTGATCTACAATATTTTACTAATGTAACGTACCCCTGAATTTGGGGCTATGATTTATTACTATATACTAAATACTAAAATAGTATTTTTAAAAGCCTTTTTTGCAGTGATTTCTGTGTTCAAAAATCTATTTCCAACCATACTGCTGGCCATACTGGGTGGAAATACTTGGGAAAGTCATCAGCTTTCCATTCCCACTTCTGGGCTTTCTGGATATTTTGAATTTGGCAAACCTAGAAGCAATTTTTATTCATAGTGCAGGAGAGTTTTACACATAATCCAGGGGAGAGCTAGTCACATTGATTATTACAGTTCGTTAAACTTTAGCTTTCAATGTACTGATAATCAAGATAGGGTTTTGTACCCTAATCAGTAGAATGAGCAGGTAGGGCCAAAAATGTAGCAGGCTGGCTTACTAATTTTTGAAATAAAAAAAACCACACAGTTTCATCTTAGGAATGCCCTTCTCCCAATAACACCATGAACTCCAGAGCCTAACACAATTTAACACCACTTCAGCATGATTCCAACAAGGTCACAATGCTCTTACCAGGGGCATAAAAAAAATTTAGATAACTGTTGCCAACTGTTGCACCCTGACTTTTTTTCCTTTAGTCCTCCGCGAATGTGACTCTTTCTTTGTATTGTAACTCACTTTGACTGCATAGTATTTTTTTAATAATACAAATCTGCTAAGACACACACATTTCCCTGAATAAGTATATGTGCTGACTTTCAAGGGTTTGGTTGAATGTTTGAACATTCAGCCTGCATCTCAGCATGTGTGTTTGAAAGTAGAATGGGAGGGGGATAGGAGAGAGAGAAAAGATAGGAAAGCCTCATGCACGAATCTTCCCCTTGACTTTGGATGCATATCCATATATCCACGTGCAAACCAATTCATTCATTATCCCAATTTTTCTTCAAGTGCCTGACAGGGATCAAGTCTGGGTGCATCTCTTTTTATGGCCAGAAGGGACAAGTGTACAGTATCTGATCCTAGCAATCACTAAATTTTTCAGAAGCAAACTGTACAGTTAGCCATGACATTCAAAGACACTTACATCAGGGCAGGCCTGGGAGGATGTACCCTTGGAGATGTGTGTGTGTGTGTGTGTGTGTGTGTGTGTGTGTGTGTGTGTGTGCAAGCACATTTCCTGGGTGAGGATAGGAAGTCACCCTGAAAATAAGAAACAGTCCATTATGAGCATTCCAGAGAATGATGGTCCATTCTAAAATTGCTATTTCCCCAGAAGGAGAGAACTGTCATAGTTCCATTTTTGACTATCTCCATGCCACTGGGCTACCATTAATACCATTAAAAGCCGGCTGCCCTGTTTCACTTTGGTAGAGAAACATGTCTGTTAAACCATCAAAGCATATTGTAGCATGCAAGCTGAAACTTACCAAAGTAACAATACCAGTTTCTATCAAGGCCGGTGACCTTTGCAATAAGTTAAAGCTTTTCCTTGGAGAGAAATTGCACTGGATTTTGTCTCTGTTCTGGTGACATCACACTCCCAAACTCCCAACAATCTTTCCCCATGGTTTCCTTTCTTTGTTAAGTAAAGCTGTCAAGATCAGAAGCCCTGAACTGATGGACTCTAGTTTGACAGGCAAAATAACATAAAACATGGTAGACATGACCGCATCTCTATAAGACAAGAGAGGTTTTTCTGAAAAGACATATAATCTTTATACATTCTGAAGTACTTTGTCAGGGCTAATTTCTATACAATGACTCCTACAGACTAAGATTCTAAACATCATGGAATACCAACCTTGTTAATTTCCACAATGTCTTGTTAAAATGTGTTGGATAGGACTTTTAGGGAATATCAGCTGTCCATCACTGATTACAGTGCCACTTTTCTTACAACAGCTATGGCTGGCATTGACAAAGTTCTGTGTATTAGTGCAGAGCCTTAACATCATCAAGTAGCAGAGAGACAAAATGTCCAATGTAAACAAAAGAGATTTAGTCAAAAGCCCTCTAGAGACCAGCAAGCACAGAGGAGATTCTCTAGGCTGGGAGTGCCACTAAGCAGGTGACACAACAAAAACAGGCCTGAATTCTAATTCCGTGAGAAAGAAAGAAATAGCAGTAGAGACTTTATCCTTCATTCTGACTTTAAAAATGCAGAACGCAGTTGAAAAAGTTTCTCTAATTAAATGTATGATGATGTTGCCACATCATTCATGTAGATTTCTGATACAGAATTGCAGCAAGTTTCAATACTTGACAAATATTATTTGGACTGTGTTCTCATTGTATTATCCAGGGAGGAACTGAGCACTGCATTTTTTCAGAAGAACAAAGGTGGGATGAGAACCTGACCTTGTGTGTTGGGAAAAAAATGGGTCCTTTAATTATACACTTGTCAAGGTAGGGCACAATTAAAACAATCAAGGTCGTCTGCAGGAGGACAAAAAGTCATGATACTGCTCCAACACAACTGAAGCCTTGTCTCACTTTTTTTTTTTTACATGTGATGCTTATTTTAAAAAAGGGATAGGGCTTTAGTGGCCACCCTGTTGTTTTCTTTGCCTCTTTCTCATGAAAACCCTTGGCAAAGGTCATTGATTTGTGCTCAGAGATATTTTTCTTCTTTACATACTTTAATGAAATATCTGGTTGGAAGCAGTTCTTAAGATAGCCTTTTCCAATATTGTGAACTCCAGAAGTATAGGGTAAGTTGACTGCGTCTGGAGAACACCAGCTCTGGAAGGAGTGCAGTAAGACAGTTGGTTCAGTTCCCCACGGCACCCATATATGTCTTTCACCTGCTCTCATCACACAAATTTTGTAGGTTTTGAAACAATAACATCAGAAATGACGTATTGATGATGAAATGTGCAGTCTTTATCTAGCCAACAGCTGGCAATGGGTTTGGGAAATTGTGTTTCTTAGGTTTCTTCCTGTTGGAAGAAAGCATTCCATGAAACAATCTAGGATTGAAATCCCTACTAACACTTGATCTTTCAACTATTTGCAAGTCGATGTACCGATATTAATTCAGGGCCAAGTTCTTTTCTATATCTTCCACAGATAGCAACTTCCTTCTGGCCAACGCGCAAGTACATCGTGGCTTCCCCATTGTGTATTGCTCAGATGGGTTCTGTGACCTCACTGGTTTTGCCCGAACAGAAGTCATGCAGAAAAACTGCAGCTGCCGTTTCCTCTGTGGCAGTGAGACCAGTGAAGCAGTTCTGCAATGCATTGAAAAAGTGTTGGAAGGAAAGCAGGAATACCAGACAGAAGTCTGCTTCTACAAGAAGGGCGGTGAGTTTTGGCAAGCCTTTCTGAATGGCTCTCCAGAGGCTATGACAACAATAGGTTTCAGGATGGAACTCAAGGACATCAGTCAAAGTTTTATCTGATAAATCCTACACATTTGCCATGAATGCAGAGGTGCAGAATTCTTTATGTCTTATATGTAAAATAAGAGCACAGTACATTGTTTTGTATGAATTTTGCAACTGCGGAAACAGTTAGTGGTTACCTAAATCAAGATCCTCAAAGTATTATCCTTCATATTTTAAAGGGAAATTTTTAGTCTATAAGTCTGCCTGACAGCCCATATACTGCTTTTCCTGGTGACTTGCCAGAAATATAGATATAACAACAACAAAGCAAAAAAAACCCCAACAGTCTGAACATCTGGCTGACTGTGTGAGGGTTAATAATAATAATATAATTGTAGAACTATAGAATGGGAGGGAGGTTGGATAGGGAAATGGTTTGTAAACATTGAAGGGCAGAGCAATTTAAAGATGGCTTGTCAAGGAAACTACAGTACATCCAAAGCAGAACATAGACTGCCAACATTTGAGGTGGAGGTAAGGTTTCCAGATCTTTTTTGTCTTTCTTTTTTGGGGGGGTGGATTTTAGAATTTATTTCCCTCCCCTTCTCACTAAGGCTGCATTAGATCATAAGCCTGAAGAAGTAGATTTGCCTTCAGGAGCTCCATAACCATAACCATCTCTGGAAAATCCCATTAAAGGGCAACTCCCTGACTAATGCTGATGGGAGCTTCCATGTGTGAGTCTGGGAATGCAAGCCAGAAGACAAATCCCTGGTGGTGGAGCTCCTCTCTACTGGTATTGGGAGGCTTCTGTAGAACCTAAATCCTTTTAGATGACAGAATTGGAGAAATGCTCTATAAGTGGATTATTTAAATTGAAGAATACACAGTGTCCTGGAATATAATAGGGCAATGCAGGATGCACAATTAATTGGTTTTCCCCACACTGTAGGAAGCAAAGTATTACCAGTGGAATGCCAAAAGAGTGTTCCAATGTGAACCCAGGATACCCATATTTTTTAGAGGCAATTTGAGATGATGGGTTTTGTGGCTTCTTAAATGGCAAAGCCACTAAGCAGCTTGGACTTTGCAAACCTCTGAAATGAATTCTCAGTGTTGCTGTTCTTAATCCATTTTGGTGCCAAAACCAATAATTATTTCACCTCTGTGCTATATTTAGAGTTGAAGGATATATGCAATGATCAGCAGGATGCCCCCCTCCAGATGTTTTAACTACAGTTTCCATAATCCATTGTCAGTAAAGTGTTGGCTGGGTTTGAAAGGAATTACAGTCCAAAAACATCTGGAAAGGCAGACAGAGATTGTTTTATTGGCAGCCTTTCTTTTGTAATCTATATTTTATGAGGTCATCAAATGCCTATAAAAAAGACCATTGCTGCAGCTAAAAGGTTGATTCTCACTAGATTTCTAAGTAGCTACAAGTTTCCAGACACCTCAACCTTTCTCTCCCCCCCCCTCTCTCTCACACACGCACACAAATAATACAAAGTAAGGAAAGGGGAAAAAATGAAGAAATAAAAAAAAGCTAAAAATTCAACAAAGGAAAAAAGAAAAAGAAAAAAAGTAAACAAGAAAGAAAAAATAATAAAAGAAATAGTTTCCAATTTTCAGAAGTTGTTAGTACAATTATAAATGTATTCTCTTTCGACAACACATCTCTTTTTTCTATAATCTATTCTGACTAATTATCAACATCATAAATCATAAATTCATTGTTTTCTGAGTTATTCAAAATGTTAGCAGTAACATTTTCCAGTTAGCAATAAACATACAGTATTGTCTTTTCAAAGAAGTCAATTTAACCAACAAGTTCCATCATCTTCCAAATCTTCAATTGGGCAAAATGTTGAATCTTTCTATCTTTGTGCATAAAATAATCAAGCTGCAGTTATCATGTATAACAGCAAAATTCCTTGACTTTTTTTTCCAATTTACAATTTTTCTATCAGTCCCAAAAGAAAAACCTCTGGTTTCAATTGTATAAAATCCTCTGAATCCAAAATTTTCTAGCTTTTTTACATGTCTACCAATGTCTCTTCTTTTCCAACACATTTCCAATATAAATTTGAAGTGCCTTTATGCATTCTACACAATTTTGCTGGTGACAAAACCAATGGTACATCATTTTATGTAAGCTTTCTTTAAAATAACACAGTGTAAATTTCAATTCTTTTCCTCTTTTTCCATTTGTATATTATAACCAAACACTGTAGCCCACTTTATTATATATTCTTTCATTTGTTCTTCTGTTTCAAATTTTAGCAATTACATATTCATCATATTTACACTATTCTATTTCAAACTCAGTCTTACAGTGTTCAAATATATGAATTCTTTCATCTACTCTAAATCTTTCTAATAATTGTAAATAACTGAGCCATTGACGACTATATACTTCTGCCACCAGCTTTTCTCATGTATGTTTTAACCTTCCTTTTAAAAAAATCTTTAATAAAAATTATATACATATAGATGTTAAAAAAAGACCTGACCATTGTCCTAATAAAGGGCTTAAAAGAAAATGATTTATCATCATCATTGTTGTTATGTCTGTTTATCTACTTGATTAACTTTCCGGTGTTTGAAATAAGATCAAGTTGCAACTACATTTTTTTTTTTAATTCAGGAAAAGTACATGGATATGGATGCCCATCTTATATACTAAAGGGTGTTCTGAATGATCCCAATTCACAGCAATCTTTGGTGTAGGCATTCATATCATCATATCAGTTCACAAAACAAAAACAAATTAGAAACAATCCAACATTTGGAAGAAAAGTTAGGTACCCTATACTGTACTGTACAATTTCGCAAACAGATCTGTATCAGATTCCTGTAACCTCCTGGCTCTACTGCCTGAAGCAACAGTCAAATCTTAATTGCTTTCTGGAAATCAAAGAGGGTTCAGGCTTCTGAATTTGAGGGAGAATTCCTGTTCTATAGGGCAGGCACCATAACAGAGAAGGCATGCTTCCTCAACCCTGCAAGATGATACTACTGATTAGAGGGGACCTGGAGTTGCCCATCCTGTCAGAACTGGTGGACTGGACAAAGACCCTTGAAGACAGATTATTTCTTTTCCTCTTTGGTTTAGGAACAGCCTTTTGGTGCCTGCTGGACATTGTCCCTATCAAGAATGAGAAAAGCGAAGTGGTCCTTTTCCTCTTCTCCTTCAAAGATATTACCAAGAATCATGGGAAGAATCATCTCAATGAAAAAAAGGAAGGTAAGATGTTTGGAGGCAAAACAACAATCTCAAGGAGAGGGGACTGAATTAATATACAATGAAATAATCACCCTGTTTTCAGTTCATGTAACCTTTGCAAATGCTTACTAGTAAATCCTTTAATTTGATTTACCTGTTATTTTGCAACTAAAGAAAAAGTCATGAAACTGCTGTTAAATGCTTCATTAAAATATACATTTCTAAAAATATTCTCAAATACTGGAATTCTTAAGTGTTATGAACTATGTGCATCTCACCAGTGAAAACAATAGTGGAAATTCTAGATTCAAACTATATTTTTGATTGGCTAATCAGAAGAACAATTTGAAAGGCTAAGTTAACTGGGTTTTTTTTTAACTGAAACTCCATTAGAATATGCCAGCCAAGGAAATGTTTGATTAGATTAAGTCAAAGAAGCCCCTATATCAGAGGAAGAAGTAAAGCCATCAGTAATCAGCACATAGGTCAGGGGTGGAAATCTAAAATTTGTCACTACCGGTTCTGTGGGTGTGGCTTGGTGGGGGGTAATGTGAGTGTTCTGTGGGTGTGGCTTGGTGGGTGGGCGTGGCCTTTTTTTTTTTTTTAACTTTTAAAGGCTTTTTTTTTCTACAGCCTCTTTGGCCGAAGAGGTTGCAGAAAAAAATGCTTTTAGGAACCTCTGACGATCAGGCAATTCAGCTGGGATAGCTAGAGGACTTTTAAAGGTATTTTTTTTCCTACAACCTCTTTGGCCGAAGAGGTTGCAGAAAAAAATGCTTTTAGGAACCTCTGACGATCAGGCAATTCAGCTGGATAGCTAGAGGCTTTTAAAGGTATTTTTTTTCATACAACCTCTTTGGCCGAAGAGGTTGTAGAAAAAATGCTTTTAAAAGCCTCTGATGATCCCAGCTGAGCCACGCGATCATCAGACTTAACTTTTAAAAGCATTTTTTCGGCTGAAGAGGTTGTAGAAAAAATGGTTTTAAAAGTTAAAAAAAACAGCCTCTGATGATCACATGGCTCAGCTGGGCATGGAGGCAGGGGGCAGGGGGCAGAGGTTTTCCGAACCATCCACCCCATCGCTACTGGACTGGGCGATCCGGTCCGAACCAGGAGCATTTCACCACTGATACAGGTCCTTAACAACAAGGGTGCATTAACCAAAATAGTTTCAAGGAAGATACCTATTTTCAATAGTACATTGAGTTTAATAGATATACTGTACATACAGTTGTTACATTGATCTTATTTTTGCATTTAGAGTTCTGCTAGGAAAATCATGGTAATTAGCTCATATACAATATGTATGTAATACATAAAGTTAATGTTCCTTCTCAAATTGCTTGATAGAAATTCTCAGTGATAGGAAGAGCTGGCCAGGAGATACAAGACAGAGAGACAGATAAAATTCTGAAATCAGCATTTTAGAATGAGGTAGTGAGATCAAGGGACAACGGTAGGTAGGTCTGGTTGAAAAAGGAAGCAAGTTAGAATGGCTATGTTGAAGGAACGTAGCCATGTGCAAGGCTCTTCCTGTTTGATAATTGATACCATAATTCTAGTCTTACTCCTTTTTTTTTATTTTCCAGAAAAGCATCAATGCAAGAAGGCAAGGAGCTCCAACTTGTGGGTGGCCAGGAAACAAGGGCGAAGTGCTTTGCACCATCTCACTAGGCAGTTCAACAAGAAGGAAAGGACAGAGATGAAGATAAACAGTGTAAAGTTATCACCTACTTTCTTACCCCGTATTTCTGGGCAAGGGAGTGGTTAAGGCTTCCTTGAATCCAAGCTTTTTCAACTATAACCATGATGATAGTCACATAGTTTTTCCATTAGCATATCCAAAAATCATCTTACTTTGTGGACTTTGTGGTTCATCTCTTTAGAATTGCCCAATGTCAAAATGAGAGGAAATTCTAGGATAGTGCAGTGTCTATGGAACAGTGCATATCAAAAACCTGCAATAAGGCATGTTTGGCATTGCAGCCCAAGCCCCACCACTTTTCTGAATGTGCTGAATGTACAAAGGGGCAGGACTTTGAGCATAACATAGTACTTGCCATCTTGCAGATTTTGATGCCCATGAGAGTATGGCTTGCGTTCTCTGTTATATGTTAGCACTATAGATTATCTGACATGAGGATATTTTGATGGGGAGAGCAATTCTCTTTAAAGGCTCTTTAACAGCTTTTAATGTAGGGCCAGTTCTTTGAGCAGAACTCAAACCCCAAAGAGATATAAATTTGGAGATATAAATTGGGTTAACCACAAGGTCTGTTGTGTGGTTAATAGCAGTAAGACTCACTTTGAAGAAGTGCTTTAACTTCTGCTAAAGCTCACCTTTTACCTGCAACCTGTACAGCTAAAGCAGTTCATTGTGAAGGGAAGCAATCCTTCTCAGCACTAAAAGGAACTTCACAGGGGTTCCTCTTAAAAGTCAGTGCTGAAAAGTCATTTCATGGCACCAAAGCAAGATGGGTTTTCCTATCCAACTAAGATCAATTGTGTTGTATAGAAGTGATGGACTGGTGTAGCCTTCTCAAGCCACACACCCTATAGATATGCTATATTATAACTCCCATCACATCCCTAAGTTAAATCATCTACAAATTACTAAATTTCAGGTCCAGTTGTTTGTGTTTATATGTGTGTGCAGGCTGAAAGAGAAGTGATATTTTGGTATAGTTGTACTCCATACCATATATTCCATGTTACACTGAGATGCAATAAGATGGCATAAGTTCAGCACCATTTATTCCAAAGTCATCTGCAAATTGCAAAGTCAGCATTTTCAGCTTCCTTTCTACAGCTCTTTCTTGTTTTCAGTGGAGCTTGTTTGCAGAATGGAGAAAGTCTTGTCCTAAACTGCATAGAGAGAAATGGACATGCTGTCTGGCAATGCAATTGAAGTGCAGCCAGATACATCTGGATGTTCTGTGGTGGATTCTGATAGCTGCTAGAAAACCATCCTGTGCACCTAACAATCCAGATTTTTGCTTTTCTCATTTCCTACTCAGAGAGCCTTGACAGCTGCTCCCTCCTGATCTAAGACCAGGGCAGATTAAAAGGCTTTGATCTATTTGAGGGAAGTGGTTGGATGTTGGGAGGGAGACGAGTTAGTTGAAGAATTGCCTAAGCAGCTGTGCAGGCAGGCTATCTATTCCAGCTACAAGCTGGGTAACTCCCTTCTCTGCGATGAGAAAATCTGTATTTACTTATACTAAGCTGATAATGGTAGCTAACCTTTGCTTCTGATCCTCATCCACAGTGAGGGAATGTGTGCACATACTGAAGAGTTTGTGTGCACATACTAAAGAGTTTTGGAAGAGAATTTTTAGAAAGAAAGTGGCCCCCAAGGTATTATAGTGGTAGTAGAAAAAGTAGAACAACATCCTGTTCCCTTCTGCTTTTCATATATGAGACATATTTAGATACTTGCTGTAATATGAGATGATTGGCAGCTACACAAAAAAGAAGTAGCCAGATATTATTATTATTATTATGGAAGTAACCGCTTGGTTTTCACACCTTCCTTCCTTTTTTCCCTCCTTGTTTTCCTTCTCATCATAGATGAGAGATGGCCAGTAACTAGATCTTGATGAATTACCATATAATAACCTGCAACTATAGTACTTCAAACTCATATAGCCAACTACATTTTCTTTTTCCTTGTTTAAATATTTACCGCAAGAGATTGAGAAAGTAAGAGAAACGGATGGAAGGGACAAAATGTGTATGAGAGAAAAATATTACATATTCAGTTTAAAATATTTAAATTTTCCAGAATGCTCTCAATTCATCATTTCCTTGGTTCGTTTTGTAAGAAGGGAGTTCTCTGGTGACTTAAGACACTTTACATATATACAAGTTGAACAATGAAGAGACAGATAAAATACTTTCCTTGCTGGTTAGAAATATACTGCCTCCACCAAATTCCCTAGAGAAGAAGCAGCTAGATATACTTAGAAGGTTTAGATTTTCAGAGCAACATGTTATTTGTAATTCTCAACCTATTTCTAGTCTTTTATTTCTTTATAGCAGACACTCGCCCATTTCTTTCCAGCAAGGTATGGGCAAATACGTTGCATTTTCTATAAATGGTTCCTTCTATTTAAAAAAGGAACTATGTTCTAAACTTTCTGGACCATTCACCTGTGATTTTCTTGAACAATAGAGGAAATTGGCATGTTAGGCCATTGTTAAGGAATCTTATGTATTTATATTAGTATTGATATTCCAAGCTTTAGAAAAATTCAGATTCATTGACAACAGTGCTTAAATTCAGAAACTGGATCTTAATTCCTTTTTCAGTTTCCTTTAGAATTAAATGTAATTTGTTTGGTTGATTGCACAGAAAGTTAAACAAATCTGCTTTGATGTGGATTCTCACTCATTAAATTTAATTGGGATGTCTAAAACATGATGTATCAACTGCTTTGAATGTCTTATTTTTGAAACAAGACATCAGAGTGCAGGATATTCCTAACACTTTTTTACCGTCTTTTGCAATGTTGCTTATAAAGACCATCTGTTTATCAGCTTGGTTTGGGAGGTTTCATTCTCAAGGTCTTAGTAACCAGCATGACAGATGTCACAAAGCACTCTTATAGATAAAACTTATTTAAATACTGCCAGGTCAATCTAAATTCAAAGAGTGGTACAGTGGCCTAGAGGCAGAGCTCTCACCTCACAATCATAGGCTGTGAATTCGATCCGAGGTAGAGGCAGATATTTCTCTCTCTGGGCACTGTGAGAATATATCTGCTGCGAACAAACTCTGCATTGGTGACAGGAAGGACACTCAGCTCCATTCAGTTGCCCCAACTCCATCTTGGGATGCAAGGGATTATGGGGTCATTAAAAGACCAAAAAAAAAAAAAAGAGTTCAGCTGATGTCCTAAGCACATACCAACAATGTTAACTCTTGAAGAAGCATCTTTTCATGCCATAAGAGGGAAACAAATATGATACCTAAAACACCTTCAAACTAAACTTTTAAACTTTAGTCACTCACCATGCCAAAGAAGAGAATGCAAATTAAAGTTGAACATAGCAAATAAGGACAATTATAAGTCCTTGGACCAAAGTCAAATGTGGCAGGAAAAGAGTTAAGGGCATAGTAGCCAGGAGGAAAAACTCTGTGATGCCCACTTCCTTTGGTACCCTAAGCATATGGTTATTTTGCTAAATGGTTAATTCAGGGCTAAAGTGTTGAGTATTTTCAGTGGAAGATGAAGTGAAGAGAGATACTAGACCAGACAAGTTGGATTCCATATGTCCTGAAACCTTCTTCCTCTGACCCAATGAGCTGTCATGTGACTGCTTGAGCAACAAGGGATCACAGAGGACTTAGCAAGGTACATATGTGTGTGTCTCCTTAAGTCTTGACATTATAAGCTGTCTTGTTCCGCCTAAATGAACCAAGGAAAGCAAAATAATGGACCCATTTCTGTTTTGTGTAACCAATACCAAAGTTAGAAAACTTGGCATGAATGTATCATATTGTACATCTATTGTTTACCAATCAATAACGCAAGATGTAAAGTTTTTCAGTTTAACGTTTTTATTAGGTTATAAGATAAAATACAAAATACAAAAGTAAATAGGAAGACACAGTGTGGGGGGAGTGAGGAGAAAAGAAAAGAAGAAACTAATTGAAGCATCGAACCACAACTTTTTGTTTTTCCATAATAATATAAACTAGCCATTTCTATAAAAACATATCAATCTAATCGGTAAAATCCAAAATCAAAGTTTCATTTTTTTCCACTTCAAGCACAAAGTTCAGAGGCGGTCTCCATGTGGAAACAAAGGTACTTATATTCTTTCTTTTAACCCAAACGGTCAATTTAGCCATTTCTGCCAACTCCATCAGCTTCTGTAGTCATTCATCCATAGTGGGAATTGAAGTGTCCTTCCATTTTTGTGCATATAATAGTCTTGCTGCTGTCAACATATATAAGATCAAAGTTCCAATTTTTTTCTTCGTCTTTTTCCATTAAAACCAAAAGATAGGTTTCTGGTTTCATTTTTATGTTTGTTTTAAGAATTTTCTGTATTATAATATGAATCTTACTCAAAAATTTCTTTGCTTTATCACATGTCCACGATAAATGGTAAAAAGTTCCTTCTTTACTTTACACTTCCAACATTCATTTGAAATACCTTTATACATTCTGGATAACTTATCTGGTGTTAAATACCAGCAATATATTATCTTATACATTTTTTATTTTAAATTATAGTTTAGGATAAATTTTAAATCTTTCATCCTCATATTTTTCCTTTGTTCAAGCATCACATTATATCCAAAATTCCCTGCCCACTGAATCATGCAATGTTTTACATGTTCACTTTCCAAATTCAATTTCAACAACATTTAATAAATCTTAGCAATAATATGCACATCACTACCACACAGTAAGATTTCCAATTCATTTTTAGCAAAATCAAACCCACAACTCTTTTTATCTGATTTAAATCATTCTTTCAGTTGTTGATATGTAAACCACTGGCAAACATAACATTTACATGATGTAAAGTTTTCTTCAAGGCAGACAATAGGGTGACATTCCATCATTCATCATTAAATGTTGATTTGGTGGAACAACTTGACTTCCTTAAAATGAAATTCCATTGCTGGGCTTTCATGACTTACTTTTGAGAGTTAGTCTTTTTCATCCACCACCAAATCACAGGCAGACACACATGGATAATCACAGCCAATTGTTGGCTTATTTGAACAACTGCTCATGTCATCTGAGAGATGCATAGGAGGGGGAGGAGACTTCGTGTGATTTGCTTAGATATATCTCTACCAGTTCTTCTAGGAGGATCTACATCATGCTCCTGCTGGATGAAGACCTCATATGGATCATCTCGATGTCTTTCTGTTAGATTCTGAACCACCTAGGTTGCAATAGAATTCAGCCACTACCACTCTTGCTTTTGCACTTGTCCAATGTTGCTGTTCCTTGTCTTACTCACTAATTCAGCTAAGTCAGAAAGGATGTGCTGTCTCTGAGGCTGCACATCATAGACACCACATCCAGCACAGCTGGAGTGCTCTGGCCAGCAAATCACAGAAGAGAGAACTGTCTAATTGTTTCATGCTATTGCCTGTTTGCCTGGAAAGTAAGAGAGTTTTTTTTTTCCTAATTGCTATGGGGAAGTTGAAAGTGTATTTGCATGTATTTGCACATATGCATACTGTGAGTATATTTGCCTGTAAAAAAAAAAAGCATGTAGATGCAAAGTTGTGTGCAGGTGTGAGAACTGCTGTGCTTCAAACATAAATGTTGGCAGTGTTCAGAAGCTGTACGAAGATTGCCAGTAAAATGTTAGTGTGACTTATTTTGCTGAGGTTGTGTGTTCCCTCTGTTCATGCTCTTGTACCTGGCTGACATTTAGCTCCAGGATGTCTTTAACAGATGAAATGAATTCTCATTTTAAAATCTTATGAAAAATCTATATCAGCAGAACACTGGAGCTTATTCAGAATGCATATATTGCAGTAACCTATGTAGTAATTTTTGAAAAACATCTCAGTGCTTGTTTGGGCTGAGTTTTTCATCTTCCATGGCCGTGATGGGAGGTAATAACTACTTGCTAATAGAAAAAAAATATGAAATAAATAGTTCTTTGTCCTACATGTTAGATCTATGAATTCAAAACAAGAATGAAGTGTCATTTTAGTTAGAGCTGCCTGGGATTTTTATCTATTTTTTTCCTAGTAGTGTCTTTTGTCAGTTTTTCAGCAAGGTACCTGATTGGTAGCAATCAACATAGACTGCTAACCCAATTAGAATGAAAAATGAAGAAACAAGGAACTAATATCAAATGCTTTCCTGACATGCTCAAAATGTTTTAAATTTTGTTCTGATGACGCATGGAACATTTTAATAATTTCAAGTTTTGTTTCATCATAATTTTATCTTCTGAGTTGTGCACATTGTGTACAAGTTGTGTAGTTTTCAAATTTTATTGTTTATCACTTTAGCAGCTTTTACTGAAACACAGAAGGAATTTACTATATATGAATGAATAATATGAATCATGAATGTCCACCTGTAACTGTAAGCCTATTGACTTACAAATACTCATGCCACAGTAAAAGGAAGAGAGTTCTAAGATTTTGGGAGGAATCATTCTAACATGGCCTGATAGTTTTCATAGTGAAGGCCACTTTTTTCCCTTTGAATACCATGTTAATGATAAAAGAGATGGCAACAAGACAAAGAAATGGACGTATCTAAGACAAAAACTTGGTAGTACAGTGGTCTAAAGCACCCTGTTATTAACACAGCTGCCTGCAATTACTGCAGGTTCAAATCTTACCAGGCTCAAGGTTGACTCAACCTTCCATCCTTTCTAAGGTAGGTTAAATGAGGACCCAGTTTGTGGGGGCAATAAGCTGACTTTGTATAAATATACAAAAGTATGAAGGCTATTGCTTAACGCACTGTAAGCCGCCCTGAGTCTCCTGAGAAGGGCGGCATATAAATCAAATTAAAAAAAAACAACCTAAAGTTATTTCATTTAAATTATATTACATAAAATTCACAAAAGAAAATAGGATTATATTCTATGCACCACGTCACTTTGACTTTTTCATACAATAGAAATTATAGTTTGGTATGCTTCTGCAAGGACTCTGCTGTTGTTCCTAAAGTTTTCTAAAAACTATGTTTAGGAATGCTGAGGCTGAAGACTGAGCCTGAAGACTAGACACCCCCATTCACTCTCTACAATGTGTGTGGGGAGTCCTTTTATTTTATATCCTGTCCTTCTATTCCTCCTCTTCTCTCTCCTATTTTGCTTCTCACACAAAATCTTATCAAGCAGAGTTGGCCCCAGCCGCTCCAGAGAATGACATTATTACACAATGCCATACTTGGGGCTATTTTTCAGCAGGGTAAGGAAGATGTCTTCCTGAAAAAACTGCTGATTTCAGCCTAGTGCTTATTGTAAGACCGCCAGGAGGCTTCTCAGGAGCTTATGACGATGATGTTGGTAGCTGAAATTGCATTTCCTCTCTTCTCCTCTTCAGGATGTCTATGAAAACAAGCCCTCAGTGCCAGAGTACAAAGTGGCTTATGTACAGAAGTCGCGCTTCATCCTTCTTCACTACAGCATGTTCAAAGCCCTGTGGGATTGGCTCATCCTCCTGGCTACTTTCTATGTGGCAGTAACTGTTCCCTACAATGTCTGCTTCACTGACGCTGAAGACAGCTTGACAGCTGCCCGCAGCACCATCGTCAGTGACATTGTAGTCGAGATGCTTTTCATTGTTGGTAAGGACTTAAGACTGGGTTGGGGAGAGTCCAACATATATTTACAAATAGTATGAAAAGGACACACCTGGGCAGACATGTGAAATGGGCATCAATATTCCTAGAGCAGAGATCAAATCATGCAGTATTCTTTATTTCTAGAATATTCTTTAATCTCAACCACATTGAAATGTATGGACTTCAACTCCCAGAATTCTTCCAACCTGCTGGCTATGGGAATTCTGGGCACTGAAGTCTTAATTTTGCTTAATATTGCTGAGTTTGAGAAACACTGTTCTAGAATAAGGAACAGTCAGCTCCCAGCAGTGGATCACAACAAGCTTTTTGAGGCATGTCAAATTCTACTTTTCAAAAGTGGATAGAGCCAGAATCTCTTTTGGAAAGAGATTGTAAATGTTTGAATGCATTTTCAAGACTTAAGACAATCATGTTGCCTCTAAAACCTGTCAAACCTGAGGAATAAGAAAGGATCCCAGATCCTCTGTATATGGTTTGTCTTCCCCAGACACAAAATGGATAATGAGAGACTCCATTTTGACCCAGAGCCATACTCTTTTTGATCACCCTGCACCTGCTCTATACAGTAATGCAGGGTAAAATATAATAGAAAATCAAAATTGGTAATTGAATAATTATTATCTTTTTAATAAAAGTAGTTAGATCATTAAATTATGCAGTGTTATCTGATCAGAACAACACTGTTATTATCAAAATTGTCTAGCTATTCACTTAGCACAGCCATGCGCTGGCCCTATACCTGCATTATAATGGAATATATTATCAATTAAGGTGAATATTTGTAGCTCGGGGTTGAAATGTGGGCTCCTTAATGCTCTCCGAGCTCGCTTGTTTTTTTGCAGAAGTTTCATTACCCTTAACTAGTAAGCAGTGCTGTCTACTGTCAATTTATTTACTGGTGACTTATCTGTCTGTGTGGATTGGGTTGAGTATTGAGGTATTGCTTACTTGATTGTTGAACTGAAGTTGACCTTGGAGTTAATCTATGCTGATCTGAATGCTAATTACTGATGGAGAGATGCTGGAGTCTTTTTCTCCAGCCAACTAAAACCCTCCAAAACATCTTAAGCAAACCAAAAGAACCAGCAACTCCAGTAAAAAAAAAAGAAAAGAAAAAGGAGGCACCTACAACATACAATGTAAGAACTGCAACACCCACTATATAGGACAAACAGATAGAAGATTGACAGAACGCATCCATGAACACCAACTGGCAGTCAGAAGACATGCTGAAAATCCTTTAAATTCATAACATATAAACAAATTTAACCATAGTTTCAGCTGGGAAAATGTGACAATCCTAGACCAGGCCAAATCCAAAAATGCCAGGGAATTTTGAAATACCTGGCACTCTGACAAATCAGACATTAATAGACACATAGACATTAACAACATTGTTGTTAGTTGCGAAGTCGTGTCCGATCCATGGACAACATTCCTCCAGGCCTTCCTGTCCTCTATCATCTTCTGGAGTCCATTTAAGCTCACGCTTACTGCTTCAGTTACTCCATCCAGCCATCTCATTCTCTGTCGTGCCCTTCTTCTTTTGCCCTAAATCTTTCCCAGCATTAGGCTGTTCTCCAGTGAGTCCTTCCTTCTCATTAGGTGACAACATCTGTAGACTATTCAAAAGAGACAATCAACCAGCTGAAAAAAAGAAAAAGACTCCAGTCCTCTCCACCAGTAATCAGCATGCAGATCATCATAGATTAGCTCCAAGGTCAACTTCAGACCAACAATTAAGTAAGCAATACCTCAATACTCACCCCAACCCACACAGACAGACAAGTCACCAGAAAATAAATTGACAGCAAACAGCACTCCTTACTAGCACTGATGATGTTACCTAGTTAAGGATGATGAAATGTCTGCAAGAAAACAAGCTAGCTCAAAGAGCACCAAGGAATATACAGTACCATGTTTGACCATTAAATAATGCTTTCAAGTATTAACGCAAACAGCCAGGATGTCTCTATAGAATATAAGTGTTGGACTTGGTGAGGCTTTTCTGTTAGAGAATCTTCAGACTATCACAATTCTCCATGTTTTCAGTATTCCCTATTTGGGGGGAACTGATAGAGAAGTAAACAAATGTTTAAAAAATTTTAATATGCCAAGAATTGAATTCTAATATTCCAAAGATACCGTATTTTCCGGCGTATAAGACGACTGGGCGTATAAGACGACTCCCGACTTTTCCTGTTAAAATATAGGGTTTGGGTTATATTCGCCGTATAAGACTACCCCTCTTCCAACGCACACCAAATAAAAATGAAAAAACATCAACTGGCCCACCCACAATGTAAAAGCAGCTGTGCTAGACCCAAAATGACCCCTGCAACAAGCAGGAACCTCATACAGCCACAAAAAGCCCAAAAAAACAACTTTCACACTTCACACACACAAAATTCCACATACAGCTTTGTGAGATTTTGTGTGTTTGTGTAGTTAGAGTGAAACACTACAGAAACACACTAAATCTCAGAAAGCTGCACAAATTTTTTTTTATATGAAAACTAAATTTAAAACTTCCTAAACTTTAAATGGCTAGGTTTAAAAAAGAACAACTAAAAAATCCCCCAATTAACTATTTTTTTAAAGCTTCCAAATGGGAAAAAAACTTACCCAATAGAGCAGGGGTCTCCAACCTTGACAACTTTAAGACTTGTAGACTTCAACTCCCAGAATTCCTCAGCCAGCTTTGTTTTGCTGGCTGAGGAATTCTGGGAGTTGAAGTCCACAACTCCCTGCCTGCTTGATTGAAGGTAGGGAGTGGCTTGCTGATGGAATTGATTCAGGCAAGTGAAGCAAGGCAAGCATTGCGACTAGCAGCTAAGGTAAGCAAGCTGGAGGGGGAAAACTTTTTTTCTTTTACATGGCTCTGGCGATCCCAGCTGCGTTGCCTGATTAGCAGGCAACGCAGCTGGGATCATCAGAGCTTGGATCGATGGCTCTGGCGATCCCAGCTGCGTTGCCTGATTAGCAGGCAACTCAGCTGGGATCGTCAGAGCTTGGATCGCCAGAGCCATGTAAAAGAAAAAAACTGTTTTCCTTTTACATGGCTCTGGCGATCCCAGCTGCATTGCCTGATTAGCAGGCAACGCAGCTGGGATCATCAGAGCTTGGATCGATGGCTCTGGCGATCCCAGCTGAGTTGCCTGATTAGCAGGCAAAGCTGGGAACGCCAGAGCCATTTAAGGCTCGTTAGAGCCTTTCGGGATGGTCTGCCTGGTTACAGGAGAACGACACCCGGAGTATAAGACGACCCCCGACTTTTGAGAAGATTTTCATGTGTTAAAAAGTCGTCTTATACGCCGGAAAATACAGTATATAGCTATGATTCCTAGAAACACAAATTCCAATTTCTACAGCTTATGAGTTTCCTGGACCAACTTGGGCAAAATGATAGAAGAGCCATGTGTTCCTTGGCAAAAATGCTACTGGTATAAAGAGCTACCCCCAAAGCACTTTGCGATATTGAATCCTAAATAGCTCTCTGTATTCCTATTCTGCATATCAAATGTTCCTGTAGAACATAATGTCATGGAGAATTGGTATTGGCAAATAAGTCACCCCCCCCTTTTTTTTTTTTTTACAGATATTGTTTTGAACTTTCGGACCACATATGTTAGTGAAACAGGCCAGGTGGTTTATGATACACGTTCAATTTGCCTCCACTATGTGGCAACATGGTTCTTCGTGGACTTAATTGCAGCCTTGCCCTTTGACCTCCTCTATGCCTTCAATGTTCCAGTGGTGAGTAATGCTTTATCTGCTCCTGGCAATGAGCAAAAGCACTCCATAGGAAAGGCCCCAGCCAAATGGTGAATTTCCAGAAAAAGAAGCCCATTCAGAGGCACCAGCTTTTAAGCCACATGGCCACCAGCAGATGCTTTATAATTGTACAAGGTCAAAGATGTTATTCCTGTAAAGTGGCCTACACATGATAAGGTGCCAAATTAACAGTAAATGCCAATATCTTCATTTCATTTCATTTTCATTTCATTTATTGGATTTATATACTGCCCTACTCCCGAAGGACTCAGGGCGGTGAACAGCCACAGAATAAAACACATAAATACAAAATTTAAAAACAGAATAAAACCGAATTAAACAATTTGGCCGAGACAAATTTAAAACACCCAATAATTTTAAAAACAAATTAAAATTTACATTTTAAAGGGGAAAGATTTAGAAAGATCTTCTCTGCTATCCTAAATATATAAAGAAGGGTGGATCAATATCTAGGAAGACTTTTTTATGTTTTATACTTTTATTAAAATTTGTTATGAGATAAAATGCAAATAACAAAATCAGGAAAGAGAAAGATGAAAGAAGAGAGGGGCAAAGAAAAAGAAAGAAGAATGTGAGGTGACTTCCAACTTTTTTCAGTGCAGTAGAATACAAAAAAAATGTTATAACCTCAACCTTTTCCTTTACATTTCTATTTCAACCCATTTCTATAACAAAATCAATCTAGTCATCATAATCTAAAATTAAAGTTTTGGGTTTTTTTTCAATTTCAAGCACAAAGTCCATAGGTAGTTTTCCACTAGGAACAAAATTAGATGGATTCTTCTCTTTAATTAAAATGGTCAATTTTGCCATTTTCACCAACTCCATCACCTTTACCATCCATTCTTCTATTGTTTGAATTAGTGTGTCTAATATCTAGTAAACCACGAGTAAAAAAATCCATTGAACATGTTAAAGGTTTCAATAGTAGTAAACACAGTGTACTTACAGACATTAATTGCAATGCTCTTGAAAAGATGATCATGTTATTAGCTCTTATGACAGGGATAATCTGCAGCCAAGCAGCTGCTCCCACTCAGGTGTTCCTTCAGTTTGCTGCCATGTTTTTATTTTAGTGTGTTCCATTTCACTCATTCTTCCCTCTATCATTCAGCCCACTGCATTTCATACTCATTGGGCATATTCTCTCCTCACTAGATATGACAAGTTTCATGTCCCCTTTAAAATGATGTTATTCAGAATATCTCTATGTCGACTGGATTTACTAACATCCCTTTTAATATGATAATTTGGCTATGTCAAAATTGAAAATTTTAAGTTGAAGTTTTTCAATAAGTTGAAAAATCAGTTCATCATTAGTTTATGTGACAGATAACTATATATTTTAAAGACTCAGATTCAAGGAGTCTGGCTAGCGAATATGGAAGTGAGGTTCTGCGGGAGGCGTGTACTTTATACATCAGCTAATTTTTACTATTAGAAGTAGCTAAAAAATCTACTGCTATTAAGGCCAATATAAAGCCTTACCACTGTCTCAGGGGTTGGAGAAAAATGATCTAAACCTCTCAACATCTTGCCAGAATTGAATTCTCTTAGCCAGACGTGATGCAGAAAGGGCCTGCTGAATGTCTCTCACCTCTGCAGAGATGAGAAATGATAGCACCTACCTGATGGAATAGTGGCTGCCAGGAACTTTTATTTCATTGTTTGTTCAGTCACAGCTGCCTGTTGATGCCTATTTTGGGTTTTTTCCTTGCTTTTTTGTAATTATGTTTTAGGTTTGGAATAGATTTGGGCTCCTCCTTCTCCTCTCATTTGATGTTTGAGTCCACTGGGTTTGGGATAGATTACTATAAAAGAAAAGAAAATAAAAACTGTCGCATGAAGCTACCCTATTGGAAACAATAATTACCACTCTTGCAAAATCCCAGACCTCCAGTTTAGATTTTAACTATGCAGCCCTCTCTTTTCTAATACTGGTATCTGCTCTTTCTAAAGCCCTGTCCCACTTTTGGTGATTTTGCTTTTAGGGGAGATGTGGGACTGAGGCTTTTTATACTAATTAAACACATTATCTGAACAAGAAATGGACCTTCTTTGGTCAGTTTGCTTTATTTAGAATGACAAGTACATAATTGGACACAAGATGTAAACATGATTCTTAAAATGAGATTCAAGTGGTAGTGAATTGGACACTACCCACTCACACTTTTCCAAAAAACATCATTCTTCCTGCTGACCCATTTTATTTTGTTAAGGGACAATTATTGTTGCATGTGCATTAAACTAGTCAGCTTTTAGTTTAACATTTTTCTGCATAATTGAAGTCCTCTGAATTGTTCACATTTCCCTCTTGTTCACAATTGCACTGTCTGGGTTACAGAATGATTAGTACTTAGGAGAATAAATCATTGTCTATATATTGAATGTGGTCATCTACATTCACTTGTTTCTATCAAGTGGGCACATATCCAAGAAGCTCTTAGAGTGTTTTTTATATTTCTCAAGAACCAGTCAGCAAAGTAATGCAAAACTTTGTCTTCTTTAATAATATGATTGCAGCCATGATTGCAGCCTAAGTTTTATATATTCCTCAAAGCCTTGAAAAAAAAATCAGAAAAGTTGAACATTTTGAAATTCAGCATTGAACTGACAAAATGTCTCTAGCTGAACATCAGAGCAACTTTAGACACTATTCTGATTCCAGCTGAACTCTTCTGGCAAATTCTACATCTCACCTAACTCCTTCACTCTGGATGCACTTTTCTTTTTTATCTTTCATCTCTCTCTGGTACAACTCTTTGGTGGGCATGTTGAGATATGCATGCGATCAAGACCAAGCACTTGAAGACTTCAATACAGCCTCTTGGCTAATGAGGTTACCAGCCAACCTTACAACACAGAGGGCAAAAGAGTAATGTCCAGTATCTTACTTTCCAAGAACTTGCCAGTTTTACCTTGTCTTTCAGATGACAGTGACCTGGCTTTAGTCCAGTAGTACCATTCGTGCTACACCACTAGGAAGAGCTGTGAGGGCCATGGTCCAGAAATAAAGCCATTGTTCCCACTTACCCATCCCTGAGAAGAGCTTGGGCACATTGTAAAATGAAATTGGGTTGGAAACTGTAAAAAGTAGTGTTTGGATCCCACAAGTCCATGAATCTTAGACAAGCACAATAAATTACGGATTAAAAATATAGTAGCTGAGTTTATGCATCAACCCGAAATCACCACATTAATGTTTAATATTATGCATGATAATATTACTGACCTGTGATCACTTCTTGAGTTTTGTGACTAGGTGGAGTTTAGCTGAATGTTCCAGTGGCCTGTCCCTTTATGTCAATCTGTTTTTCTCTTCCTACCTTTCCCAGACATACCTGGTACACCTGTTAAAGACTGTCCGTCTGCTGCGCTTGCTCCGCTTGCTCCAGAAACTGGATCGCTATTCCCAGTACAGTGCCATGGTCCTGACCTTACTCATGTCCATGTTTGCCCTGCTGGCTCATTGGATGGCTTGCATTTGGTATGTCATTGGCCGGCAGGAGAGCAACGACCCTGTGACCTGGGACATTGGTGAGTTTAAGATATGATTGGGAAGCCCTTGTCTTACAAATCCTGGTGCATTGCACCAAACAGAATCAAATACATCTCTTCACAGAATTCATAGTCAGGACATTCTGTACTCCAGCAAGTTAGAATCTAAACTTTTGAAAGAGTTTGAAAGAAATGTAACATTTAGAATAGAATAGAGCTGGAAGGGACCTTGGAGGTCTTCTAGTCCAGCCCCCTCTTAAGCAGGAGAACCTATACTATTTCAGATAAGTGGCTCTCTAGTTTCTTCGTAAAAACCTCCAGTGATGGAACTCCCACGATTTCTGAAGGCAAGCTATTCCACTGGTTAATTGTCCTCACTGTTAGGAAGTTTCTCTTAATTCCAGGTTGCTTCTCTCTTTGGTTAGTTTCCAACATTGTTTCTTGTCCTGCTCTCTGGTGCTTTGTGGAATAATTTGAGCCCCACTTCTTTATGATAGCCCCTCAAATTTTTAGGGCACTGGTTTTAAACCATCTTTGCTAAGCTTCTGCCAAATAGTGGCAATATAATTTAGTTTAATCTAGGGAAAAGCAACTTTGGAGCATAAGAACATTAATACCAGTAACACCAAAAACACTTCATAGAATCCCATGAATAGTGGTGCAACTTTTATTATTATTCATTTATTTACGGTCAAAAGGCCCCAAAGCAAATTGGAAACATAATCTAAACTTGATATTGAATAACAAGTAAAATATTTAATAAATAATATATTACACACTTAAAACCTCAGGTCATTAATTTGTTACTAAAACCATGTTTTTATAGTCAAAAATCTGTCTGTTGCCAATCTAATTTTAGGCTGTAATCTACAGCCATTTCGCTATTATGGTTAAAATGCTGTCCTAGAAACCAGGAACCTGTGAATTTTAGTCCCACCTTCAGTATGAAACCTGACTGGATGACTTTGAGCTAGTCACTCTTTCAGTCTAACCTACTTCACAGGGTTGTTGTGGGGAAAATGGGAAAAAGAAGGAGTATTATGAAAGTTCACCACCAAGATACTTAAAAGTAATAAAGGTGTGATAAAGATATAATAAATAAATATATTTTAATCTGCAAATGACATTTTACATATTCCTGGTTTAAATTTTAAACAGGACAGATAACTTCTGTTCTGTTCTGCTGGAGACTCTTATAAAATTCACATTACAATAAAATAATGATCCACCATTTCAGGATCAGCATCATTACAGAGATAAAATCTTTGAAAGATGGAATTTTAAAAAATCTATCATATAGCATATTTGATGGCAACACATTTAAACTAGTTTTGAAAAGAATGTTCTGTGTTTACTACAAAATAGAAGCTATTCAAATATTTAGGGAGTTGAAAAAAATATAATTATTTCCAAATGTTGCAGGTGAACATGGTGCACTGGCTTTAGCTATTAATTCCTATACTGAATGATCCCATAGCCTCTGTTTTCATAATCAATTCATGGTCAATGAAGTGCTGATGACATACCGCTGAAGAAAAAATTATCAGTCTAACTAATATTTTGAGTCACCTGTTTAAACCACATATTTGCAAAGAATTCATTTGGAGAATTCTTCCTTATTTAAGAAAGACATATTTGTAACCAAATTATAATAGTGCTAACCAAGTTTTGTTATCAAAGGACATTGTCCAGTTTCCAAGAAAATAGCAGACTTTGGACATAGTATAGGACACTTAAAAGATATTTTTAAAAATTCACCTGCAGTTGTGTTATGCTGTTATTGGCAAATTTGATTCAAACTGGAGTTCCATATAAAATTTGAGATGCAATATTGGCATTAAAAACATGTATTATTGCATGCACAAATCTTCATTTTGAGTAAAAATATTGAAGCAAGGCTGTCATAATAGATTTTGCTTTCAGAAGTATTGCCTTATAATGATGTCGCCAAGTTAGAGCATTGTTAAATAAAATGTCCAAAATAAAATTCTCTACAGCCTTACCAGGACACAATCAACAATAAGCTATTATAACCCAATTAAACTCTAGATTTTAAAAGCATAAGGCACTTAAAGCAGGGAGAGAGGACTAGGAAATTTCCATTCTCTCTGAAACCCAGAGACTAGCAATAGCTTATTTATAACTCGTTCATAACTAGCAATATACCAGATGAGTAATGGAGATAGGGACAACATATGAAGACTTTTCCCCTCATTTATGTCTCATCATTTGCCCTAGTTATCAAATAGGCTCATTAGTGCAAAAAAAAAAAATGCAAAAAAAGAAAAAGAAAAGAGCTGTGATAGAAAAATGGTTAGATTGCAGTATTTCAGGCTAATTCAATGAGCTCATTGCCAGGAGTTCGATCCTTACCGGCTCCAGGTTGAATCAGCCTTCCATCTTTCTGAGATTGGTAAAATGATGACCCAGAATGTTGGGGGCATTATGATGACTCTGTAAACTGCTTAGAGACATGTGTAAAGCACTATGAAATGGTATAGAAGTCTAACTGCTATTGCTATACGGTCTTTGAAGAGTGATCTGGAGAATCAAAGTTTTACTATAGTCTATAGAGTAAGATGGGATTTTGCAGGGAGTGTGTCAAAATCTGCCACATGCCAAAATTGTTATTATGATAAAAGTCCTCCCCATTTTGATCAATTGAAGTATGGAATTTTTTTAAAAAATTATGATCTAGCATTTAACTTGCTATTCTGCTTTGCCAAGAAAATTGTTAAGGGCAGACCTCTGAGACTTTTATTCTATGAATCTCAAATTCTAAGATGCCTTATTATATTTAGGGTAGTCTTGTAAAACTTTTGGCTGTGTTCACATGTTGACTTTATCAATATGGTTTGTTTAGCTTGTCTTGCATGAATGCAAACAAATTACATTTCAATTTTAAAAATGACCCTAGCCATACAATCTCTGAACTCTTGTCTACCCAAGAAGATTAACCCATCATTGTGCCCAACAGGCTGGCTCCATGAATTGGGCAAACGAATTGAGGCCCCCTATATCAACATCTCTGTGGGTGGACCATCCATCCACAGCGCCTATATTGCCTCTCTGTACTTCACCCTCAGCAGTCTGACCAGCGTAGGCTTTGGCAATGTCTGCGCCAACACAGATGCTGAGAAAATATTTTCCATCTGCACCATGCTCATTGGTGGTAAGTACATCCTCGGTGTAGACATACATTTATTCTCTTCTGCCCTAATATGAGAAAATTTAGCACTGGCATCTAAAACCATCTTTCCCAAGTTAGATGTTTAGACAACAACTCCCCAAATTCTCAGACATGATTCCAACTATGCAAGGGCAGTTGTGAGAAAAAAAGAAAGAAGAAAAGAAAGGGAAGATCTATTAAGTTGCATCTCAATGGTTAAATTAAGCCTCTATAGTCTGAAACATTCTATAACTTTATTTTAGCAATGAGAAGAAAAATAGGGAAGGGCTTTCTTGTCATCTTTAAAGGCTGGTTTCCTTGAAGCAGGTCTTGTAACTCTTGGAAACAAGGCTCCTATTAGAAGGATCATTCACCATATCCAAATATCTTCCCTTCTCCTCCTTGCTTCAGCTCTGATGCACGCTGTGGTCTTTGGCAATGTGACAGCCATCATACAACGCATGTATTCACGACGTTCCCTCTATCATACCCGCATGAAGGATCTCAAGGACTTCATCCGTGTCCACCACCTGCCCCAACAGCTCAAGCAGCGTATGCTGGAATATTTTCAGACCACATGGTCTGTCAACAATGGCATTGATGCAAATGAGGTGGGGCAATTCATTCACTGAATTTTCTAGAGGGAGATTGGGAGAGAACATTGTCTAATGGCTAAAGAGGACAGTGGAGGCCTGAATTTGTGATCTGTTTATTTGCAGGAAGGAGCAGGTTTCACAATCTCAAATATCAAGTCAGTATAATAGGGCTTGATGGGTTGGAAGAGTCCGTAATTGTGAAATCTTTAGGATATAAAGGATTGCTATTGAAATGATACAAATTCAGAGAAAGGCACTACTTATCTTGTGCATCACTGGTTTATTTTAATATAGCTTGCACAAAATAACTTCTTCCCACATCAGCACATCAATCTTTAGCCTCCTTTAATGTGTCCAGACTATACTATCAGTTTGCATTATAGTAACTGTGAAACAAACCCTGTCTGGATAATGGAAACTTTTTTTTTTGAAAATGTTACTACCTGAACCTTGGCTTTTTAAAAATGTCTGAGTCAAGCATAATTTAAACAAAGCTCTAATTTTGGAGACATGAGAGAGAAAATGAAAGCAGAAGACAAAAAGCTTAGAAATGAAGTTGCCATATCTCAGGATTTAACCCAGTTAAAGATGCAAAATAGACTTTAATTTTGCTTTCAGTAGTGTTTCTTAGCCTCAGCGGTTTGAAGATGTGTGGACTTCAACTCCCAGAATTCTAGGGGTTGAACTTCACACATCTTCAAACTGCTAAGATTGAGAAACATTGGCTTAGAGCATTGTAATGGAGGAAGAAATGTTGCATTTTTTTTCCTGGAATGGAAGCGTCTTTTGAGAGAGGGATTTTAGACCAGGAAAAAAGCAAAAAGAAGAATTAAAAGGTTTTCTTCCAGAATAGTTGTTCCCATACCTGTACCCTACTTCAGTTATTTTTTGAGGAGTCAAAACTTTCCAAATTCTTTGCTTTACCCTTCCAAGCCTCTTCTGATCAAAATCTAATCATTCCTGCTTCACATCTCTTTGGATATTTGGGCTTTCCAAAACAAAGAGATTTTCAAGGTGAAGAGATGAATGGGTGACATATTATTCTCTTCTTGGCTTCAGAAATGTAATCTATTTGTCCAGGATTTTCCTGCCATTTTTTTCCCATGATGAATTACTAGACTCCAATATTTATATCCCCATCCACATTTTCCCCATCCTATTTCTTGGATTCTGGACTATAGGTTTACATTTCTTATGCTTTTGTCCCTGAGCTTTCATAGTTTTCATCAACCCCACACAAGGGAGAATAAAATCAGCTGCTCCTTATTTATTTATTTAAAGCACTTTCAATCCCATCTGTCATATGAAAAATGGATTAAAGGCAAAAAAATTTTTTTAAAAAAAGCTCCCTCTCAGTATAAAAGAAGGAGGGAGGTGGAAGGAAATGAAAAATAGAACCCATCAAGCTTAAGAACAGGTTCTTAAAGAGTAACAATGATTTGTGTATCAGATTTTCCCACCTAGTGCGTGTATGTTCAACTCTCAGCAATGGCCACATGGGAAGGGAAAGGGTGATTTAAAACATTATCTGTTAGATATGATTCAATGAAAGAAAGAACCTGATCTAGCTGATATTCTGAAAAGAATGATGGAATCACCTGCATCTAATTCCAGCTGCCACAGAAAAATATGACAATTGCCTATCAATTATCTCATTGATAAATGAATGAGTTGGCCTCAACTGATGGGAGAGAGCAACTAATAGTTTAAACAGGCTGGAAGTAATGGAAGTTAAAGCTTTGCAATATGGGAGATTACAGAGTAGCAGTGTTTCTCAATCTTGGCAACTTTAAGATGTGTGGATTCTAACTTCCAGAATTCCCCAGTCCTCTCACTAAGGAATTTTGGGAATTGAAGTCCACACATCTTAAAGTTACCAAAGCTGAGAAACACTGGTGTAACAGTAAAAGTAATTGACATGAAACTCCATACTCCTTCTCACCTTTTCTCTGTAGCTCCTCCATGATTTCCCAGATGAATTACGGGCTGATATTGCTATGCATTTGAACAAGGACATCCTACAATTGCCGTTGTTTGAAAGTGCCAGCCGTGGCTGCCTACGGGCTTTATCCCTGCATATCAAGACCTCATTCTGTGCGCCTGGCGAGTATTTACTACGTCAGGGAGATGCCCTGCAAGCAAATTATTTTGTGTGCTCAGGATCTTTTGAAGTCCTCAAAGACAACATTGTGCTGGCCATTTTGGGTAAGACCCAGGAAGAAGAGCAAGCAATACAGCATTCATTTGGGCAGGGAGTGATAGATCTTGGGTGGGGAAACAATGGGGACTAAACAATGGTCTTGATTTGGAGCTTGTTCTTATTTTCTTTTAGCACAAAGACACTTTACAAAACCTTTTCCCAGGGGCATTTTCCTCATGACATTGCCTCCCTCTCATTAAGTCCATTAAATCCACTGTCCATTCCATTATTCCAATGTAGAAGCAATGTATTCTTACTTCTTTGGATACAAAATCCTCCCATGTGGACTATCTATCCTTGGGGAGGGGGGGAGTTGCAGGTGATACTGTTAGGTCCAATGTTCATTTGATCCTGCAAGACTGCTGCAGAAACATCTCCACGTCCAATTGTTGGCTCTTTTGGCTTTGATTGCGACCTGATCTCTTTTTTCTTTATACTGAAATATTGAATTCTTTGGAGATCAGCCAGCAATTCTTCTATTGCTACATCTGATATTATGTTTCTGGGTGTGCGTGCATGCACTTCAGAGATCATAAGGCAGGGAAAGTGAGAAAGACTTCCATAAACATGGGATAAGGGAGGGGAGAGAGTGCGAAGGCTTTTTAACCATCGAAAATGATTAATGGAGGAAATTGATTCCAAGAGGGAGAAGGAAAAGATGATCCAGAAGCAAAACAGCCCTGAGATCTCTTGGATTTGGGCTCTTCTGCTCTGTACTCCAAATTTGCTCTTCTGATCACTCAGGCAGGTTTGGGGCTGGGAAATGTTGTTTGATATCATTACAGGACACTCTCACTTCTCTGACAAAATTATAGAACTTGTGGGAGTATGATATTCCTATATAAAGAGAAGGGGAAAAAATCAGATGTATGGTCTCTCTCTCCCTCTCCCTCTCTCTCTCTCTTTCTCTTGCACACACACATACACACAAAGGAGACTGATAATCCTGTCAGAAGGATGCAGATATTTTTGAAGAAAACAAAAATGAAGGGCAGATAAATAGAAAAGAAGTAAGGCTTCAATTCCCAATGTTCAGGGATACAACAGGTGGCTGTTTTTCCCATTAGCTGGTGACAACTGGAGAGCACAGTTGAGACTGCTTTGGAGCTATCCCGCATAAAATTGTGTCCAAGCAGCAAAATTACTTGGTTTATTGTTAATCTATGGTTATGGTAATCTATGTTGGCAGCATAATTTATATCAATATACTTTCGTCCCAGTTCAAGGAAAGGAGAAAGCATATTAATATCACCATTGGAAAGTCATAAAAAATGTAATTGAATGATGAGTTGGTTTGCTGGGAAGTGAAGTTCAGCAAATGGTTAAACTACAGATGAGCTCTTTAACAAAACAACAAGTGGGTGCCGGGTATCCATTTTAGACATTTATATTCTCTAACAAGTACAAGAACTCACAGAACAAGGCTTGGGAAATCTGTCTAGCTTTAGAAAAGTCATTTAAAAGAGCAAATCTGAGTGGCTTGTTGGGCAATAGTTTCAAGAAATGGATGTGTGAATCCGGCTCGTTGGTGCTTATTCAATACACCTTCATTAAATAAGCTGTAGCTACATGATGTGTGAACTTAGTCACCATCTAGCAAAAGGCCAATTTCAGAATTGATTCACAGCACCAGCAGTCTCCAGATGTGTTGAGAGTAATGTCCAGAGTTCCTAGCCAGGTGGGGGAAGAAGCCATGTTTAGGAAAGCGTTCTGTACAATAAAAGAAGGTCAAATTTTCCTACCCAAGTTTTTAGTGCTTTGGGGATCTATTACATGGAACAAAAAACTAATGTTATCTGAGGAAAACTTGTTTCTTGTATTTGTTTCCTCTTTTTTGTAAAAAATGAAATTGTAATAAATATTTCCCACAAATGTAAATCTGTTTAGCCTAGCTATAGAAAAGAGTGGTAGGAACTAAGAAAACAGGCAATTTAGAGCTATTACAATTATTATAAACATCAAAAAGAAAGAATAACAAAACAATCCATCTTCAGCAGGCAAATTTTTTGTCCCAAGGTCCAGACTGTGTCTGCATTCATACTTCATGATAAACTGTGATTTAACTATGGAATGCTTTAGCAACAGTGGCCTAAGGTCACACATTCCATTAAGTCATCAACCATGATTTACATATTACAGAGGATAGTCCAAAACTCTAAATGAAAACTAAGCAAATTATTTGATGGCTTTGCATAATTTGTGAGCCAGTCATTCTATGACTTTGAAGTATTGTTTGAGTATACAAAGGCAGAGGCTGCAATAGCCTCTCTGCCTCCCAACCCATTCATACATATCCCAAACCTTGACTTTTTGTAGGTAAAGGAGATCTTATTGGTGCTGACCTGCCCAGTAAAGACCAAGTCATCAAGACCAATGCAGACGTTAAGGCACTGACCTACTGTGACCTCCAATACATCAGCCTACGTGGACTTGTTGAGGTTCTGGAGTTGTACCCTGAATATTCTGCCAAGTTCATGGCAGACATCCAGCAGGACCTCACTTTCAACCTACGTGAGGGTAGTGAGATTGAGGTAGGTGGGTATGGATGACATTTCCCTATGACTCTAGCTCTTCATTCTGGCAGAGTGAGTCATTCCAAGTGAAGAACATTTGACTTCTACAGGAATTTTCTTTGTCCAAGCCATTAGGACCCATGCTTCCAGTCTGACCACTCTGAAAGGGCTCTTCTATGTATAATGGAAAGGAAGTTCTCTGCTTCCTTTATATTTTGTCTTTACAGCTTTATGGAAGTAGAACAGGAAAGGGGGATTTGATTTTATTCCATGTCAGTTCCAGTGTGGTTACCATAGTTATGCAGACCATCGTTTCTCAGCCTTCACAACTTTGTGATATGTGGATTTCAGCATCCAAAATTCTCCGGTTCATATTCTTGGTTGCTATTCTCACAATCCAAGAACATGTTGGAAAGAAATTACATACAGTATAGAAGTCCATTCCCTCCTGGTTATGTTATCCAGAGCAAAGGATCTATAGCCCGCTCTGTTTCCTCATGCACAATTTACAGATATAGATATCAGATGCAGAGAGACTAGGAACATCCACAGATTAATACATTACTTCATTACATGTAAGAAAATGAACCTACAACCAAGGATTTCAAAAACAATGTTAAGCATACTTTTCTTCTCTTGTTTGGGAGGTAAGAATGCCACAGGGCTGGCATAGTCACATTTGATGTTGCTGCTATATCTGAAAATAGCCATACACTTTATACAAATTCCATCTAATTAAAGCTCCAATGGTAGTTTTAAATTAAGTGAAATCATAGGAGTGAAGGAAGAGAGAGACTTGGTCATCTAGGAATAAGACCTGAGGCCCTTAAGTACTGAATCTCCTTGCGTTGCCATTAAGAGTTTCCAAATCAATCTGACAATTGCAACTTTTAATGCAAGATATAGGATTTTACCTACAAGAACATTTGCACATACCAAAACAAGGTCTGTATCTGAACATCTAACTCTCAAATTTCTCATGCAGCAGGAAAATTTAGAATTCATTTCTAGGAAATACCTAAACTCTGCATCCCATGGTCTTAAAAAACTTTTGCTGAGAATAGAATCACTTATCTAATCAATGGGAGTAAGTCTTACATAGACAATCAGAAAACCCTGAATAAGTCAGAAGGTTTTAAATATGGACTAGTTAGGAGTATTTGAAAATATATATTCAGCTAGTTTGAAGTATACATAAAGTAAATAGAATTTTATTGCAGTTGCTCTTAATATATTGATATTCCAAGTGGTGTGTTGCCTGTTGTCCTGATGACAATCTATTGTTATCTTTAAGTAGCAATATTTAATACCTTTATTCTGCATCAAAATGATTTAGCACAGAGTTTTTAACTGTTTTCAGCCAATGAGCATATTTTGAATTTGGGAAACTTTTTTATGTTTTCCTTCCTTCCTTCCTTCCTTCCTTCCTTCCTTCCTTCCTTCCTTCCTTCCTTCCTTCCTTCCTTCTCTTATAAGTCACCTACTCCATATATTCCATTGAAAACATCCACATTGGAAATAATGAAATCCTACTAACGTCAAAGTAGAAAAGATGCATTTCTTAATAATTCAACTAATTCTACTCCTCCTCAGGCAATTATCACCAAATCACCAGCCCTCTCTTCCCCCAGGGCTTGTTGGAAGAGAACATTTTACACTATCTTCTGAAAGGCAAAGAAATAGCATGCCCCCATGTACTAGCATGTACTGTCCTTGCCTTTCGGAGAATGTTATTGAGAAGGCTTCTTCCTAAGAATGCTCCCGACTAGCAACTCAAGGGGACTATTCTCAACCAGGAGATTATGGGCAGGCAGGTTGATCCAGGACCAGTCAACCAACCAAAAGTCACTTAACCTCTTTTGGTTTGCTTTATGTCAGGTCAGTTTTCCTTTCTTAAAAACTAGGTTGTTATATTTTAGACCTCTCTGAAGCAGAAATTTAAGCCTATGATTATTTTTAATTTATCAGTGGGGCCTTTCCCCCACAGTTCAAGTTGTACAGGACCAACATAATGTAATTCACAACTGCCAGCATCCTTTTTCTAACTCCTTCTAATATTTTAATATAGCATATGGACATTCTTCTCTGCCTTCGCCTGTCTGGTATGATGACAAGGTACATGTTTGTGCTCCCAACCAGAAAAGTGTTACTATTAGGCTATTGGGTAGGAATGAAAGCAATTGGTGAGAGAAGAGAAAACCTGTCTATTTGCAAGCAGAAAAGGCAGACTGGCGATATAGAAATCCTGTTAAGACATATTTTCAGCTAGAATAAATGCACATGGGGAAAGAGTAGAGTTAGCATTATGGCAACTTCAATCTAGGTTCATTCAACAAAGCAAAGAAACTCTCTGTGTACAGTACATTATTATGAACAAACAGAACCTCTATCGGAAGGGGAGAGTTTAAATCATAGTTGCTGCTTCTACTCTATAAGAATATGTGGATTAGTAGAATTCTCGTCTGAATTGCCACCTTCACTAATAAGGTACTATTCTAGGTGATCAATTGTTTTCACTGAATAATTAAAAAAAAACATTTAAACATTTTCTTTTTGTTTGGACTGCTGGCCTAAAGGAAAGAAATAAAGCAGGATTAGCAGGCAAAGATTAGTGTTTGCTATAATTGGGTTATATTTTGATATGTATCTGACATTTCCATGCAAGCAGGACAATCAAAACAACTTCCAGCAAAGTGTTGCTTATACAAAGTCCTGAAGCAACAATATTCTAGCATCTTATGGTTGTACTGTTGGCCAGTTATGCCATCTCTGTTCAGCTGGTAGATATTGGGTTCACTAAGGCCAGAGATGGGCTTCACATAATTTAACAACTGGTTCGCCTAAGCATCAAAAATGTGAGCATGCACATATACATGCTCACTTTGCTCTCGCGCACACCTTCTGCACATGCGCACAGCCTGCGCAAGCGCTTTACTCATGTGCGCACTTGCACGCGGCTTAAAAATGTAGCTAAATAGGACGGCATAACACTTTATGACCATCCGCAGGTCACAACTACCGATTCTCCCGAACCGGCTGAATCCTACCCCTGACTAGGCCAAATTTACAATAAATCTTAATCCCCTAATTTCACATCATTTAATCTGGTTGTTAAACTCAGACTTATTTTAGATAGATGGCACAGAACATAAAGCCAAATGAAAGAGCAATTCTCTTTTTTGTAAAGGCTGCTATTCCCATCTTATACCTACAGTTGTTTAACCATAGCACATAGGATAACAGAGTCGGAGCCTGTTCCTCCTTCCTATCTTTCACATGGTTTAATAGAGTCTTTATCTTGTGCTTCCTGGCACTGAAACCAATTAGTTGTTGGCATAAGTGACATCTCTGCCTATGCACTATGGCTCTCAGTTTACAGTATCTCTTGCGACAATTGTTGCATCACCAGTACAGGAAATTATCTCGATCTCTCCTGAAGATCATTGGTATGTTGTTTGATTTCTTAGCACTGACTTTGATGTAGCTTGTGTTGAAGAAACTGGTTGTGTTTGATAACTCAGACATAGATGAAAGCAGGCAAGGACAAAGAGATTTCATAGTATACTAGTGCCAAAAACTCCATAACCCCCCCCCCACAGAGAGAGAGAGAGAGAGAGAGAGAGAGAGAGAGAGAGAGAGAGAGAGAGAGAGAGAGAATAGGTTTGTGAAAAGTAGTTAATTAAATCTTTTCATGTTCTTGTCTTTGTTTTTCTTCCAGGGGCTTCTCCGATTTACCAGATCCCCACGTTTATCCCAGGTAACTTAAAGTTTATGATAAGGAAAAAAAGTAGGCAAAGTTTTTTTCATTGGATTATGATGAATTTGAAGGAGTATGTGGATGTGAATGAAATTCTGGGAATACTGGGAGTTATAGTCTAATAAAATTACAGAATTTGTATTTAGGCACATTGACATAAATATAGTGAAAATGTAAAGATAACCATCTTGGAGCCCCCATACAGTAGGTAAGAGGATACAAGTGATGGAAGAGCTACCATATCTACTACCTCATCTGTTTTTGTTCTAGAGTCAGCTATCACTAACTTATTTGTTTGTTTGTTTGTCAAACATGTACAAGATAACAAGTATAGGTATGAACATAAACAAAGGAAGTAAATACAAATAAATGGGGACAGTAAGACAGGGATGGTAGGCACGCTGGTGCGCTTATGCACGCCCCCTTTACGGACCTCTTAAGAAGAGAGTGAGATCCACGGTAAACAGTTTGAAGTTGAAACTGTGAGGGTTTGAGGCTGTAACAACGGAGTCAGGTAGAGCATTCCAGGCATTGACCACTCTGTTGCTGAAATCTTATTTCCTGCAATCGAGTTAGAAGCAAGAACTAGATGGCAGAAAGCAAGGAAAAGAGGGAAAGCAATATTTTGGGGGACTAGGGATATGAGGAGAAACCCACATAGGTATATATATCTGTGGTGACAGAAAGAATGAAGAAATGGTGTGCCTCTTTTCTTCCATTTCCTTTGCCTGTCCTCAGTCGCATTGACTATGGGGTTACTTAGCCTCATTCTGGGGGCAAGGGGTAATTTGAGTTTACTTTGTGGCTCAGAGACTTGTACTTACAATCCTATCTAGGCCTTTGAATTTAACTCCATATCTGTAGAAATCCATACTAAAGTTTCAGTGCATCTAAAGAGTACCCAATTGCAGAAGAATGACATAGAAGATTTTCCAGACTGATGAACAGTGACACATGATGAACAGGATAGGGATATCCTGAAAATGTCCTCTCATAACAACCTACATAGATGAGGGCATTCACACATGGAATCTTTTTTATCCTATTTCTGTAATGGATTCTGTACTGTAATGATAACTCAAATTTGATTGCCCATAATTATTCTTTCCATCCAAAATAAAAATTTGAAAGACAAATTTGCTTTTGTTCTCATAAAAATTCTTTTTCAAGATCGGATTGGCATATCAATTTATTTCATGTACTAGTCTTAGTTTTGTTCATACAATTATTTATCTTCATCCTGGTTACCAAAAAGCTATAAAATGGGAAGAAAAACTGGCTAACCTTCCAAGATCAATATCTAAACTTTAAAAGGTATAAAAAGTGGGATATAATGATAAATGAACATTTGAAAGCTAAGGGCATTTTCATGCACAAATTGCTTACTGGAGATTATTTGTATTTTAAATACGGTAACACTTCTTATATTCACAATAGCTGGGTTCTGATTATTCAGACCAAATAATCATTTTCTGGTTTCCATAGTATACTGAATCAAAAAGTATCCAACTTGGCTTATGTTTAGATAATACTTCATGTTAAGCCACTCAACAGCTATCCAAAGTCAACAAATATAATCTTTAGAACATCAGCAAATTGTTTGAGCATGTTCTATGAACCCAGCTAGTGTGAGAGAAGAATTTAAAGTTAAATAGGCTACAAGTCTACAAGTTCTTCTTCTTCCTGAGCCATTACTTTCCTTCTTCTCATCTGGCCAGCCTCATCTTCAAAATTGTGCTACTGCTTCTGAGAAGACCCTACCCTCCATCCAGGAGTACAGTGAGGACTCTGAAGACTTCTTTCAGCCTTCACCTGCCACAATCACACGTCGAAAAATCATGTTGCCCAACCTCAACAGCCCAGTAAGGCGGGGCTCTCTCAGCAGTCTTCTGGGAGATGATTTGCGTCAGTTCTCTGCCCTGAGGAGAACTTGTCGGTCTCCAGTACGCTGCAACCAGATCCGCAGTCCTTCTCCACGATGCCGTAAAGAGGAGCAACATTTTGACAGTGAGGGGCTCATTGACATGAAGCCTAACAAACTCCTCATTCCCTCTCTTACACAGTACAGGCCTCCAGACCTCAGTCCCAGGTTAGAGGGTCTCATCATGGTTCTTGATTTAACTCATTAAATATAAATATAATACACCATATGTTCTTGAGCCTACTTTCCATTAGTGTGGATTGGATATGTAGAAGAGATTTGATCCAAATACAAAGTTCTGTTTTAACTTCAACTAGCACCTTACATTTCTTTAGTTTTAGAAACTTTGGCCCAAGTGCAAATCATGGTCTAAATCTAAGTCAGGGGTGTCAAACTGGTGCCTGAGGACCAGATGCGTTGTGCGCTGACCACCCCCACCCCAGCTCCGCAAAGGGGGAAAATGTCACGATACATCACGTGATGGTAATGTGATGCTGTGAGTTTGACACCCGTGATCTAAGTAATTCTATTACTTCCAAGATTTAAAAAAATAGTTTGGTCAAATTGATTTCAATTTCTAGGGAAATTCACTCCAGATGTAAGATGCCAAATATCAGTTAAATATGTGAATGAGCTTTGGGTTTTATTGCATTTTTTTTTTCATGAATGCTGTCCATATTTGTTTAGTAAAAGTAGGGAAAATTTGCAGGCATAGCTGCCTCCTTCAGCAAGGATCAAGCTTGTCAAGTTTAATTTTGATAGATTCAAGATCTTTATGAACAAGCAGGTTTTACTGTTAGGAGTGGGTTATCAAAAGAGAATGCCTTGGGGGAAAGATTTTTATAAATATGGAATATGGCAGAAGTAGCCCTTAAGAAGCCTTCAAAATTTCAGGAGATCTGTTTGTTTATTTATGATGTAATTGTATATATCGGGGACGGTTTTATCACATTCTATTTCTATGGTTTTAGTTGGCAGTTTGTATGAAAATGACAATATATATTTGTTTGTTTGTTTGTTTGGTTGGTTGGTTGGTTGGTTTTGATTTGGCATTGCCCAATTCCAAAACAATTATTAGACATGCTTCTCAATAGGAACCTACTAAATCTCAGAAGGGAATGTATAGGAAATTCAGAAATTATGATGAACAACCCATAATTATTTTCTGTAGATAGTAATATATCATGGTTGATGGGATTTAAAGAATATGAACATAGGTTCAAGCTAATGGTTTGATATGGATCCCACAGAATGCAGCAATATTCTTTAAGCACTTTTGTTCCAGGCTGGTAGAATTAATAAAGAATAGTCAGAGAGCCCCCATAAACTCCTTCATAACTTAGCTTACTCAAGGGTTAGAAATATACTACTTCTTCTGCCTCCTTCCACTTCTGATTTTACATTTTCCTTATATGAGCAGCTTGGCAAAAAAGGTATTATTTTTCAGATCTGTTCCAGTACAAATTTCTAGATCACTAACAAAGAACCAGGGAAGCTCAGTGTTGAATCTGGACAGAGCCTATTAAAAATGAAGCTATTTCTCAAAATTTGGGATTTGGCCAAATGCCATGCATACTCTTGTATATCATTCTCTAAAATACAGATACATACTTTCTTGAGTTAAACCAGGAGACTGTGAATTCTAGTTTTGCCTTAGGTATGAAAGCTGGCTGGGTGACTTTGGGAAATCACTCTCAGCTCCAAATGCCAGGCTCAGCCAACAAGCGAGTCAATCAGTTCCTGGTGCAAACAAAGGATCAACACTCAGTTGACACGCCCCTCCTCCAAAAATAGACCCTGCTCTATGGTAGTAGACAAAATGCTAGAAAGGAAAAAAAATCTATGGATATGCTGGTGTGCTTTTGTTGACAACAAGGTAGTAGTGACAACAGGATAGAAATGACACTTACTTTTTCAAGGATTTTTTTTCAACACCCAGTCTAATATTAGCCATTTATGGCTTTACTTCATTTTTTGAAATTAGTAAAAGATGATTAGGTGCTCCTGTGTAGCTCCTATTGAGCTCATTCCTGATCAGGTGGCCCTTTATGATAATGTTCGTTAATAATTATCGTTTAGATCACGGGTATCAAACTCGCCCTGTCACGGTGTCACATATTGTTTCGTGATGTTTTTCCCCTTTGCGGAGCAGTGGTGGGCGTGGCATGACGCATTCAGCCTGTGGGCTGCCAGTGTGACACTCCTGCTTAGGTCATGCTCCATTTTAATTAGCCAGAAAAAGTGAACCATTTGGATTTTCTGTCACATGTGCCAAATATTTTGGGCCAACATTGCCTAGCTTTTTTTTAATCTCTTTGTGTGGGTACATTGTGGATATGTATATCTATGCCCCAGAGGTGAAATCTGCTTACCTTCCCTACCGATTTGGAAGTGCATGTGCCCTGCGCGCATCACGTCCATGCACCGATCCTCTGTGCATGTGCAAACACTTCTGTGCACGCGCAGAAGATAAAAAACAGGTTACTTCCTGGTTAAAACCAGGAAGTAACAACAACTAGGTGTGTGGGTGGGACCTCGAACTGCCATCGCTACCGGTTCTCCGAACCACCCGTTGCCATCGCCACCAGTTCGGCCGAACTGGGCCGAACCAAGAGCATTTCACCCCTGCTATGCCCCCATTTAAAGTCTGCTTTCCAACTACATATGAATAATTTTTTCTCAGTGGGTTACATATTATGCAGGTTTGGATAATATATTATCCATTTCATTAGCAATGCAGAGCTGAGTTGAAAATCAATTTTGTGTGTTTTGTGCACAAGGGCAGAACACCAGTTGTTATAAGGGACACACAGGAAGTAAGAAGGAGAAAGGTGGCTTCTGTTCTTTACCCTCAACTTCTTATTCATAGAGAAAGAGCTTTTGAATGTGGAGCTTTATTTTTTGTCCCATAACTCTTGGTTGATTCCCTGTTCCCACCTCTCTAGAATTGTTGATGGCATTGAAGATGACAGCGAAGCATCAGAGACCCAAACATTTAGCTTTAATATGGAACGACCCCAGCAGACTTTGGTGCAGGATCCTATGCTACCAGGTAACCTTGACAACTGAAGAGAGGGTTTTTACAGATCAGAAGCAAAATCTAAATCGGAAGCTAAAGTTCACATTTTGAACAAAGAGGAACATTGATTTGAAAGAGGTTATTTATGTCAAAGAGCCCTCTCTCAATAAAGAGCTGGGGATATGATATCATCTATCTCCAGTCTAAAAACACAGTCCTTTCAGCAGTTCCAAGAAGGCTCCATACCTATAACTCATAAATATCCCTTACTTCAAATGGAAAGACAATTAGATATAAAACCAATTTAAATGCTACGAGTTTAGGATAAAGTAATATAGGGATATAGCAGGGGTGAAATTTAAAATTTTTCCCTACCAGTTCTGTGGGCGTGGCTTGATGGGCATGGCAGGGGAAGGATACTGCAAAATCTCCATTCCCTCCCTACTCCTGGGGGAAGGATATTGCAAAATCTCCATTCCTACCCTACTCTGGGGCCAGCCAGAGGTGGTATTTGCCGGTTCTCTGAACTACTCAAAATTTCTGCTAACAGTTCTCCGAACTGCTCAAAATTTCTGCTACCGGTTCTCCAGAATCTGCCAGAACCTGCTGGATTTCACCCCTGGGATATAGGCTTAAACACCATGTTAACTGTAAGTAAATCCAACAGATAACATGTTTCTATTTCAGATATCAGCAGTCCAAAGAGAACCATTCCCAATAACATGTCCATTCAAATAAATATTCTATAGCTCAGTTCTTAATTATAACCAAATTCACATTTAGAAGACATAATGTAATCCCAATATTCTAGAATAAGCAAAAGGCTGAAATTTGACATGACAAGAAGTGATAGTTTCCTGTTTAAAGAGAACAAATGCATAAAAATTCCTTACTTCAAATGAAAGGACAGTTACTGTAGATACAAAGCCATTTTAGATGCATTCAGAATAAGATGCTTAAAGTAACTTAAGAGGGAAAAGAATCTTAAACACCATGGTAACTATAAGCAATCACAATATTTTTATAGTCCAGATGCCACAAAAGAACCACCCAGAATAACATGCCTCATTTCAACCTTGATCAGGTAAACCAAGTTTGTATTCCTTCTTTTTACATAAAACAATGTTACTCTTTAATCCATTCAGACGATTATTAATTTTTGTTTCAAATTTCTTCAAAACTTTCAACAGTCTAGCAAAATACATAGTCCAGTTGTTGTGATTGTCAATTTTATTTCCTTAATTTTTAAACCCGCATCCAATTTTTTAAATGTCCAATGACAAATTCTTGTTCAAATTTTTGTTCATGTTATTCTCAAAATTTTGTTGCCTATCTTTTTTTGCAGCACTTTTTTTTGGGAACAGACTGTTCTCAAGAAGACATAACACTTCTGACACTATTGATTCAATGTCCTAATGCAGTTCCTCAAAAACGTCTCTGAACTCCATTATAAGTCGCTTGTTTTTTTTCTGTCTCCAATATCAAAACCAGTTTTTCTTTCCCACAAAAATGCATTTATTCTTTAAAAGTAATTTCAAAGTCTTAATATTCAAAATCCAACATTCTGTTGTTTTCTGAGCCTTTAATTGTTCAAAACTTTCTGTAACAGATGGGTTTGCTGATCACGTACCTGGCTCCCTGCCACGTGGCAGCAGCCCTGCCTGAGCTACTCAACTTTATAGCCGTGGTGGCAGTTGACACCCCCAGGCTTATGGTTATGGGGGACTTTAACTTGCCATCCATGGGTGAGACGTATGAGGTGGCTCAGGAGTTCATGGCTTCCATGATGGCTATGGACCTGACCCACACGGGGGGAAACACGCTGGACTTGGTTTTTGTCTCTGGACAGTGGTTGAGTGATCTCGAGATAGGGGACATAGTCATCGAGCCCTTGTCATGGTTGGATCACTCTCTCCTTCGCCTTGACCTTCGAACTGCTGCACCTTGCCACAGGGAGCCAGAGCCGGTAAGATGGTTCTGCCCCAGGCGCCTGATGGAGCCTGATAGGTTCCAGATGGAGCTTGGGCCATTCCCTGAGGCTCATGCCCCGACTGGAGACCTAGTGGCCCCCTGGGACAGGGCAGCCGCTGGAGCTTTGGATTGGGTTGTGCCTTTGGGCCTCTGACCCGGCACCGGTCTCACTTGGCCCCTTGGTTTACTGAGGAGCTGAGGGAGATGAAGCGCTGAAAAAGATGCCTGGAGAGCAGTTGGAGGGCCAGTCTTTCTGAATCTGACCGAACACTGGTAAGATCTCATATTAAGAATTACCTAGTGGCGATAAAAGCAGCAAAGTGTAATTATTTTGCTGCTCTTTTTGTGTCACCAGAGAACTGCCCAGCCACCCTGTTTAGGGTGACCTGCTCCTTGCTCCACCAGGGAGTGTGGGAGGTCCCCTTGGAGGGTAGAGCTGAGGACTTTGTACAGTATCTGCATGACAAAATCACTCAGATTCGGGAAGGTCTGGACTCTGACTGGGTAGTTTCAGGGGGGAGGACTGAGGCAGGTCTTAACAATGTTATCTGGGATGAGTTTGATCCTGTGACTCCTGACGACGTGGACAGGATTCTGGGTAGACTGAACGTGACCACATGTTTGTTGGACCTGTGTCCCTCCTGGTTAGTGCTGGCTTCTCGAGAGGTGACGCGAGGCTGGCTCCAGGGAATTATAAATGCTTCATTGAGTGAGGGTGACTTCCCCGCCACCTTGAAAGAGGCAGTGGTGAGGCTTCTCCTCAAGAAGCCTTCCCTGGACCCGGCAGTGTTGTCTAATTATCGTCCGATCTCCAACCTTCGCTTTGTGGCGAAGGTTGTTGAGAGTGTGGTTGCACAACAGCTCCCCCAGCACCTGGATGAAACGGTGTATCTGGATCCGTTCCAGTCGGGCTTCAGGCCTGGGTACAGCACAGAAACGGCATTGGTCGCGTTGGTTGATGATCTCTGGAGGGCTCGGGACAGAGTTGCTCCTCTGTCCTGATCCTATTAGATCTCTCAGCGGCTTTTGATACCATCGACCATGGTATCATGCTGCACCAATTGGAAGAGTTAGGGGTAGGGGGCACTATGTTGCAGTGGTTTTCCTCCTTTCTCTCCAACCGGTTGCAGTCTGTGTTGGCAGGGGGGCAGAGGTCGACCCCGAGGTGCCTCATATGTGGGGTGCCGCAAGGGTCGGTCCTCTTGCCCCTTCTGTTCAACATTCATGTAAAGCTGCTGGGCGAGATCATCCGTGGTTTCGGGGTGAAGTACCATCAGTACGCTGATGATACTCAGCTGTACATCTCACCCTGGACCACCCCAACAATGCCCTTGAAGTGATGTCCCAGGCCTGGAGGTCGTGCGGATCTGGATGGGGAGAAACAGGCTCAGGCTCAACCCATCCAAGACCGAGTGGCTGTGGTTTCCAACATTCTGATATAGTCAGTTGGTGCCATCATTGACTATTGGGGGCAAATCGCTGGCCCCCACGGAGAGGGCTCGCAATTTGGGCATCCTTCCGGATTCACAGCTGTCTTTAGAAGAGCACTTGACAGCTGTGACCAGGAGGATTTTTCATCAGGTTCACCTGATTCGCCAGTTGCGTCCCTTTCTGGATCAGGACTCCTTACGCATGGTCCCTCATGCCCTCGTCACTTCCTTCCTGGACTACTGCAATGCTCTCTACATGGGGCTCCCCTTGAGGTGCACCTGGAGGCTCCAACTGGCGCAGAGTGCGGCTGTGCGGGTGGTTATGGGAGCGACATGGGATTCCCATGTAACACCTCTCCTTCGCAAGCTGCACTGGCTTGCGGTGGTCTTCTGTGTGCGCTTCAAGGTCTTGGTTACCACCTTTAGAGCTGCATGGCTTAGGACCTGGTTACTTATGGGACCGCCTGCTGCCACCAGTAGCCTCTCACCGGCCGGTATGCTTTCATAGGGGCTCCTCCGGGTGCTGTCGGCCAAACAATGTCGACTGGCGGCCCCTAGGGGGAACACCTACTATCTGGAATGAGCTCCCCCCAGAGATACAGAGGATCCCGGATCTACACACCTTCCGCTGCGCTCTCAAGACCTTTTTATTCTATCAGGCTGGCCTGGCCTAACTGTTTCCCTTTTTTCCCTTTTTAAAACGTAAATTTTAACTAGTTTTTAATTTATTGGGGTGTTTTAAATCTGTCTTCGGCCAAATTGTTTAATTCAATTTTATTCAGTTTTAAATTTTGTATTTATGTTTTTTATCCTGTGGCTGTTCACTGCCCTGAGTCCTTCGGGAGTAGGGCGGTATACAAATCAAATAAAACTAAACTAAACTAAACTAAAACTAACCAAAACCTTGTCTTGCTTTTTGCTGTTTATTTTAAATTCTTAAAGATTATAAAGATACATCTCATGCAATTATTAGGGATGGAAGGCACTCACCAAACATATCCAAACATATCATTTTGAAAGTTTATAACTTCTTTAAAGCAATTAACAGGTCATTTCCAAAAATGATTAGAAAGAGAACTGCTAAATTAAAGTCCTTTGAAAGCCTACATTCATGGCTGGAGTAAATATGGCAAGTTCTCTTTGCTCCTGGTTATCTCATCCCATCCTTTGAGCCTTGCAGTGTCCTCAAAACCATAAGGAGCACAGCTTGGGTGATCTCATGATCTCTCTTAATCCAGAAGAACTTGAAGCAGTGACCTACTCATCAGCTATCTGTTCTTAGTTGCAAATGTTGGCTCCACTTTTCACAGTGTCATCTTCAGCATTTCTTCCCTGGACTGAAATAGTCATTCTAATTCCAGGTAGCTGTCTTTTAGTAGTTTATTTGTAAAGGTTCAGCATAATGTTGGGATACCTCAGATTTTGCAAAAATATTGCATCTCAAAATGGGCAATAGTATACATGAATCTACATGCAAAAGATAGGATATTATTATAATGAAGAAATGTTGTACAGTGTATATTTTAGACAAGTTCAGATTAAAAAAATATATAAACTAAGATATGAACAGATAATATTTTTTTTGTGTTTTCTTTTCTTGGTGAGGACCCATAAGAAACGCTTCAATTAAGTAAACTGAACTAATTGAAAAACTACAGTTAATAACTCTGGAAAAAGCCTAATTATTAAACTATCCATATAAAATGGAACATTTTTGGACTAGGTTTTTAATATTCTTTTGTCCTAGCTCAGTCATAGAATTTTAAATGAGTTTAGAAAAGAAATAATTTCCTTTTTTAAAATCTCTCACATTTTTCTTTTTTTTATCAACTTCTCCTGTTCCCAATCCCCTAATAAGAAAAAGAGAAATTGTCTATAGAGATAATTTTGATTAGCAATGCGAAGATCCCCAAATCTAGAAACATCCATGCTTTGATATGAGTATGAGCAAATTTAGAGTGGGATGAGACTTGGTTTGCATTTTTTTCTGTCTAAAGTTTGGCTCCGATGTTTTCAAGAAGCATAATACTGATCTTATATTGACATCAGAGGTGAAGTGTATGGGTGGAAATACTTAAACCTAAAAATCCATAAAGGCCCTAAAAGTCCATGAGCAGAGTCTCAATTTAGTCTCCACAGATATGAAAAATCAACTTATTCAAAAGCAGCAATTTGTCATCAAATTATGATGTGTAATTTTGAAGGCAGAGTGGATTGGAGAACAAAAATGAAATTGGATGGACAATGGGTTACCTGAATCTGGTTGATTTTGAATCTTTTCCTCATTGCTGTACAGATCTGATAAAAGAGGAAACAATAAGCAATAGAAGACTTTCTATTTGTTTTGGAAAGGGAGAAACCAAAGGCATATATAGCCAATTGCATTTGGCTTACTCAGCTAGCTCTCTGTGTTTGCTGCTATTGTGAACAACAAAAAGGGGAAGAAAATTATAATCATATTTAAAAATGCAATAATGCAAGTTAAAGACTTTTAATTTTAATATTAAAAATGAGGGGTAACTAGAAAGCCAGCTAACATATTTGTTCCAAAACGAAATCAAATGAAATTGAATATAAACTAACGACAGCAAATATGTGACCAAAACCTTTTGGAACTTACATAAAATGTGAATTATACTTTCATGAATGATCACTATAAATGAACTACTCATATAGAAAATAAATTTATCAAAAATCACACAATCCAATTCCACAGCCACAAACCTCCATCAAGTTTTACCCATTAATTAGATTTCAACATAGTCACTGTAAAGGGCAATAGCCATAAATAGTTCTCTTTCTCCTCCTTTCATATGTATGGAACTCACTGATACTGGTCAGTAACTCTTTATGTCAGGTCTCTGTTTCCATGTTTAGTTTTATATAAGCACCTAAGCTTTTGATAAGCATCATCAGACAGCATCTATCAAAAGGCATCTGGTTGATGAAATTATATATTTTAAGGAATAGATGTAAAAGAGTTTATTATTTGCATAATATTTGTTTTAATAGTATATTGATTTATTTTTATTATCTTCTTGTTGGTTTCTCATCAGGAAATCATTTTCTGACTGTTTGTCCTAAAAAATCATCAGAGTAGATTGTATATTTGTGAATTTTGAGAAAACTTTGAGAAAAGGGCCTTATTTAGGAAAGTCCTGTTTTTCCACAAAATGTGAATATTGCCCTATTTTTTCAATCTTGCCCTCCCATCTGTTGCTTTGTGAAACCTATGTCAAGGTCCCGGCCACAGAGTGAGCTCTTTTGATTTAAATAGCATTCCAGGAAAAACCTCATATAATACTGTTGTATATCTTGGTAACAGGAGGTTTTAATGGATGATTTTGTTTTGGCTTCCTAGCTTACCATTGTTAAATGAAATAGAAAAATAATAGCCAAAATGGTAGTGGGCACTGTTGTTAGATGACCTAGCTATTATGCAGCCTGCTTGCTAATTGGCACTAATAAACCATTGACGTTTGTGGAACTATATGTTAGTTGAAATGCAAGAAGCTTGAGCAATGCCTTTTCAATAGCCTGAATGACACTGGCAGATTTTATGTTTAAATGAGCATTGATGGATAATGCTAATTGATAGGAATTACCTCATGCGCTCAAGCTGGGGTTGGAGAGCAGTGGTTTCAAGATAGCTAATAAAGTAGTCTGCAATCTGTTTCACAATTGTCTAGTGAAGGATACATTATTTATATTCTTTTAGGGATGCTGTTTTGCAAACTAATGCTGCTGAACTCTTGACTAGCATGGTTTAATTCTTTATAGTCAGTGCCCCAAAATCGCAAAATAAATACATGGAAATACCAAGTAATATACCAATTTGAAATGAGATATAATTTAAACTGAACTACTGTGCATAATAAGGAAAATTATGGACGTGATCTATGAGTCTATATTCAGCCTAGGTCTTCACTATTGAACAACTTCAACAGCCCTGGTTTCCCTTTCTAGGTTCTTTATCTTTCAATGGGATTTAGATTAAATTGCCCTTGAAACAGAAGAAGTCATCAGGCAGGTTACTCTCTATAAAATAGGATAGAATGCCAGGTTACCCTATTATTCCTACCAAAGAAATAGGAAATATAAATAATAATACTATAAACTAGCTTTCCCCTAACTGGTGCTCTATTGGTCTTCTGTTGTTAAGAGTACCAGCATGATCTTGATTCTTCCCCATTAAAAAAGTGAAATCAAGGTATGCAGTTTGACTTGCTTGACATTTTTACTCTCTCTCTGTGTGTGTGTGTGTGTGTGTGTTAAATTTTTATGCCACCCATCTTTCCTATAAGGTGACTCTGGGCAACAAGTTATAAAATATATAGAAAAATGTATAGATGGATTGTGGACTTCAATTTTTCTTTGCAAATGTTTGACATCCTGTCCAGCCTGTACCAGTTTTTTGCTGCTGGAGGAGGCTCACATAACTGAAAGGTCTTCTATCTGTGTTCCACCCAAATATCAATTCTTCATCAGAAATGAAACTGGTTCTATAACTTTCTCTTCCTCTTCCCTGCATAGAGATTTAAATTTTGTATATTCCTGTAAATCCCCTCCAAAGCTGACATAATGCCATGCCCCACCACCCACCCCACCCCCAAAAAACCAGGCTTATCTCCTGTGTAAGCCTTATGTTTTCTTGGGACATTATTTTTTATTTAAAATGAATTAGAATAATTCTTTTTAAATAAAAATTTAGAAAATAACAATGCAACACAACATAAAACATAACACAACTATATGAACTATGCCTAGATGTTCATTACAGTATCAAGAGGGAAAGAAAGAACTAAAAGAACTACTTTTAGTTCTTTGTTCAAAGCTGATCTCTTTGAAATATACCCAGTTCAAGCCCAGAAGAGAAGCAGGAAGAGCCTTGAAGTTGTCTATTGGTAGTCAAACAAAGCAGACACATTGGTCAGTGGGGCACAGTACATTGCATTTTGTGAGACATAATGCAATGTGAGAGATGTTGCATTTCAATATAAATGATATCCGACCCTATTCTTTTCATTTTCTTGTTTAGTCACTTTAGTTTTAATTTGATATTAGAGATATTAGAGAAACCAACCTGTGAACAATTTACAATTATATCCCTCATTTCTTTGGATTTTTTTCACAGGACCGACCAATCTCGTGTTAGCTACCGAAAGTGATGAGGTAAAGCAGAACATCAGAAAGCTGAATCAAGAGGTAAGACACAAGCCTTAATTTGCAGACTGAGTCAATAACACTTCATCCTAAAATCTGTTTATTGTATCAGAACTTTGCTGTAAAAAGTATGAAGTTACATTTGAAATGAAAATACTTCTGCATATGTGCAAAGTGCATTTACCTTACCATCTGAGAAATTTGATATATATGCATTACACATAACAGAAGTTAACTGAATTACCAGGTGAATCTTAGTTTAGTACTAGTGATATGAGAGCAAGTTCTTTCAACTAGAATACAGTAGGTCAGTTGAATATAGAAAGGCAAGTAAAGAATAATGGAATAATGGAGTTTGAAGGGACTTTAGAGGTCTTCCAGTACAACCCCTATACCATTCTGGAAAAATGGCTGTCCAATCTCTTCTTTAAAAACTCAAGTGATAGAGCACCCACAACTTCTGGAGGCATGTCAATCCACTGATTAATTGTTCTCACTATCAGGAAATTTCTGCTTAGTTCTAAATTAAATCTCTCCTTGAAAATTTTCCATCTGTTACTTCTTGTCCTGCCCTTGGATGTTTTGGAGAATAAGTTGACACCCCACCCCCTCTTCTCTGTGACAGCCCTTAAATATTAGAAGACTATTATCATGTCACTTATAGTCCTTCTCTTAGTTAAAGTATCCAGTTCCTGCAACCATTCATCATATATTTTAGCCTCCAGCCCCCTAATCATCTTTGTTGTTCTTTTTTGCACTCTTTCTAGGGTCACAAAATCTTTTTGTATTGTGGTAACCAAAACTGGATGCAGTATTCCAAATGTGGTCTTACCAAAGCAGTATAAAGTATAAACAGCAAAAAGCAACAAGCGGTACTAACACTTCGTGTGATCTTAATACTGTCCTTCTGTTGATGTAGCCTAGAACCAAATTGGCTTTTTTAGCAGCTACAGCCCACTCCTGGCTCATACTTAAGTAGTTGTTTAGTAGGACATCTAGATCCCTCTCACAATCACTGCTATTAAGCTAAGTACTACCTCTTCTATACCTGTGCATTTGATTTTTCTTGACTAAGTGTAAAATCTTATTTTTCTCACCAGTACAATTACATTTTGTTGGATAGGATCTATTGTTTAAGGGTTCAAGCCTGTCAAGATCCTTCTTCTAAACGGTTAGCTCTTCCCTCTAGTTTGGTGCCATCTACAAATTTGATGAGTTCCCCTTCTATCCCCTCCTCTAAATAGATTATGAAGATGTTGAAGAGTCCTGGAACTATGGTAGAATCTTGGGGTACTTCATTGCATGCTTCCCTTCATGTAGATGTAGTTCCATTGAGAATTACAAGTTGAGTGTTGTTGGTCAGCCAGTTATGAATTTATCTGGTGGTGATGCTGTCTATCCCACATATTTTTATCTTACCAAGAAGTAGGTTGTGGTCTACTTTGTCAAATGCTGTACTGAAGTCCAAGTGAATTATGTCCACAACATTTCACTGGTCCAGTAATTTGTCAAAGAATGCAATAAAGTTTGTCTGGCATGATCTGTTTTTGACAAACTATGTTGGCTTCTAGCAATAGGTTTGCTTGTTTCTAGTGTTTACAGTTCATTGCTTAATTATCTTTTCCAGGGTCTTCCCAGGTATAGATGTCAAGCTGATGGGTATGTAATTTCCTAGATCTAGTTTCCCCCATCCATCCCTTTTTGAAGATTGGAACCACATCACCTCTGTTCCAATCCTCTGGTAGTTCCCTGGTGCTCCAGGATCTTTAACAGATATGGTTCAGTAGTTCTGAGATCATGTCTGGCAGCACCTTCAGAACTCTGGAATATAATCTATTTGGTCTTGGTTATTTGTACTCATCTAGAGTGGATAGGTTTTCTTTTACCATTTTCTTGCCTATTTTTAAGATGCAGATAGATCAGTGCTCCAATAACCAATAAATAAGCAAAACCAAGCAGTTTTTGCTGCTTTTTGGCACCTGCCACCTGAGGCTGTTGCCTCTTCTCTCTAATGGCAAAGCTAGCTGTGATCTAAGGTCCTTCCTCCTCCTTTCTACTCACTTGATGCCTGAAGCTGTGGAAAAAATAAATGCTCCCCAAAGATTACTCCTTGTGTCCAACACTTGTTTTTTTGGATCAGTTGTATTTTTTTTCCTGCCCTGGCAGGATGAAGAAAGATGAGACTGTAAATTGCATAGACAGCCCCTGTGTTGGCGTTTCTGACTGTGGGTGTAAGAGTTTAAATTAAAATTTAATTTAAAATTTAAATTCGGTGACAATTACCTAGCAACAGAGCCTGCCCATTCCTTTTTTCCCCCTATTATCTTTCTAAATTGCCTTTGTGTTCTGCATTCTATGGAAAAACTCAGATTATCCAGAGTCCCCAGATCTTCACCAGACCTCACTTTCTAGGGTTCCTTCCTCGGGGTTCTTTTGTCCATAATTGCCTTACGGACATCAAAACAGAGAATGACATAAATAGAAATCCAGGTCTAGAATTTAATAATTGTATAACTTTAAAATGTGTTTGACTCCTTTATTCGACTTTGAACATGAAAATTATCATTGGCACTGGTTGCCCCACAACACCCCATTTTTTTCTCTCAGTTGGTTGCCTTCCCTATTTCTTATGCTGAGACTGTTGAATAGGATAGCCAGGTGCAAGTGGCAAAACAAAGGAGACAATTTTTTAAAATGCATTCAGTATCCCTAAAAGTGAGAGGGTTTGTATGAATTGATTAGATTGAAGGCTTTAATATCATCAGCTGCTATTTTAAAGTTTGTCCCTTTCATTTGATCAGGCTGCCACCTTCAAATATCATCAAGCAACATAAAGTGAAGGCAGCATTTAATTTTTGAACAGTTATGTATAGTTAACTTGTCATTAGTTTTAGAAAGAACTCTCCCACTCTGCAGAGAAATTAACTGAATGACTGATTGTGCAAAGGATCCTTGATACATGCTCAGAAGCATTTGTCTTTACTGTATACTCTGTTAATTCTTATTTTATTTCAAAATGGGAACTTTGGCTAAAACGGATAGGGATGCTGTCTGAGTTGGATTTGATTACGAGAGGAAGGAAAGGAAGACAAGTGGCCAAATCTGCCTCCCACTGAATTTTATTAAAAGAAAGAAGGTTGGATGACAAAAAACAAATTCTATGGATGATTATCTTTATTATAGTCACTAACTATCAAATTAAACTGTCAACATCATTAAAGAATTTTAAAAAATGAAGCACTGAAAGCCACAATATAGAGAGGAAAGCTTGAAGTTATCTAGAAGCACAGTAAAATTCCTTAAGATCTGAAATATTTCTAAGATATCATATGTCATTTGTTGCAGTACAATACAATTATGAACAGCAGAATATTGTATTAAAAATAGAACCTAAGTGAGTAAATGACTAATAAAAGGACTTCAGGGGTAAAATTCAGTACCAGAATCCTACAATCTAAATATTATACTATTAAGTGAATATATAGAGATATGAGTTTATGCATGTGTAAGTATGCCTAAATAAAATCTTATATTTGACAGTGATAAATAAGATAGGACAGGAGGTAAGATCTAGATGCACTATAAGAGACACTGGAGAACAAAATAAAATTGTAACATCCAGAAAAGAATCACAGGAGAGGACTTGTTGTCGGCTTTTCAGTAGCTAATCTACTCCTACACCTGCTCTATTTCACTAATCAAGAAGGAAGAAAATGAGGTTGAGAAGTGTTCAGCATGATCATGTGGCTCAGCTAGGAAATAGTCCTCCCTCTTTGATACAAAAGATGCACATGGACGGTCATGATAGACTGAAGAATTGCAGTAATTAATATTGAAGAATATATTCTACCCTTAATATATAAAGATCTTAGGCAAGCTACTTATCTTCCACTATTGCTGCATAAAATAATCATTCCAATATATCATATTGTAAAAATGCTTTGATGACATTCCCCAAAAAGATTCTGGGTGATGTTGCTTTTCTGTTTATTTTTCTTGCCTCCCTACAGATAAACAATCTGAATCGGGAAGTTTCCCAACTCAGCCAAGAGTTACAGCATCTCATGAATCTTCTTCACGGCCAGTTTACCACTCAATCTTTCTCCAACCCTACCTCAGTCTGTCTTCACAGCTGTGAGCAGACCTCGCCTTCCTTGTCTCCTGTAAGCAGGTTGCCTTCTTCTCGGACCTCAGTTTCCCTGCCACCTCATAGCCTTCTGGCTTCCTCCTTGCCTATGCTCCCCAGCCTGCCAGCATCCTCGAGCCTTGATTTTTCTGCCTTCACCAGCTCTCTGCCTTCTACTGCCTCCCAGGACATGGAACTCTTTGAACCCCAGGAGAGGAGGGGATCCACCTCTTGTGATTCTGTAAGTCCCACAGATCAACCTTGGGCTGACAAGGAACATGGTGATCCTCACTCGGGACATACAGTTAATATGACTGCTCATTCTAGCTCACCCATGTTTTATTCTGTCACCTCTCTTTCCTCCCAAAATTCCTTCCCCACCTGTTCAGGACAGGGCGGTCCACCAACAAACTTTTATTTCCGCTCTAGCCCAGAGAGCTTTAATTGATGCCAAGGAGCCTTTTGCCACAACTTCTTCTTTTAGGATATTTGGTGCCTAGATTTCACAGCCACCAGCACCAAATTTCCTGTTTCTTAAAATGCATATATTATTATTATTATTATTATTATTATTATTATTATTATTATTATTACCGTATTTCTTTTTAAAAGTTATTCTTTTATCACTGACAGCCAAATATTTTGGTTTTCAAGATCCTTATAAATAGCAGTTATGCAATCAACCATTGATTCAGAAATCCTGTAGATACATTTTCAAAGCAGTAATGTTATGAATGTGTTGTCAGAATCAGAACAGTTACATTCTATTTATTTTCCTCAGACTAATATCATTAGCCAATGGGCATGTTGTTACATACATATTCAAATTCTTGCATATATGTGAATTAAGGGACCATAAAACTGATCCAAAGCAGTGAAAATATAAATGAACTCCCCACTCTTCTACTTAGCATGTCACATAATCCACCAGGAAATTTACCAGTGCAAGGCTCATTGAAACTAATGTGAGTTGACAACAATAACACTAGAGCAGTGAACATTCATTTTGATGAAGTTTGGATGGAAGGATTTCCAATGGATTATGGTCTATGAATCAGCAATGCCCCCACTACCACTCTGAATAGCACCTCAAATTCACTCTCTGAAGCCTCCTATCATTTCAGAGTAGAATTACTTCTCCAAGTGGATTCAAATTAATATCAATTGGCAGATTTGTTTTTTGTTGGTCAAGTTTATTTCTTGAGTTTGCTATTTTCTTTTCTCAAAAAAACTTCAGTCTGAGATCTTTGCTACATCTATTCTATATGAGCATATGTGTGCATGTTTTCAAGACTGCTGTAAGAGCCAAAGGCTTTTTTCTATTAAATTATTTTCTGACCTTTCTTTTCTTTTCTTTTTCTTTTCTCTCCTCTCTTTTGTTTAAAGGTGCAAGTGAGGGTATACAAATGATTTCTAAATTTCTGGCAATTATAGTTGATTTCTGTTTTCAATTCCTGAACACCACTGTTATAAAACAGATGATCTGCTGAGGAGGTCATTCTGGGAAATTGGCCTCTCTCTTTTTTCCACTCTGGAGAGAACAGAATAGTTAATTAGGAAACATCAGTCTGTCCCCTGCATAGGGTCTAATGTATTTTGACAGTTCATCACATTTAAACTGCAAATCCACGGTGCTTTTTTTAAAACAAAAGATGCCAGAGATATAGATAGCTTGCATTTTCTCTGACATAAGAATATAATTCTAGAAAGTAGTTGCCCTTAAGATTGTCCCATGATATAATCAATACACACCGGCACACAAAAAGCATTGCTTTTTTCATCAAGACAATATAACCAATGTAGTTCTGAGGCCAAAAACAGATACTGGTGGCTCCATTTTGGAAAACATAATGGCACTCTCTGTTTTACTGAACCTACCTGCTCAAAATCCTACACATGAATCTACTTTCAAAAGATCTATATGTGAGTTGGCATATAACCATTAATGTCTACGATCAGGCCAGTATTCCATCATCCTCTGATACTTTCCATGAGACTCATTGCAACTCATTTTTGTTACATTTAGTTCTTATTCATGTGGGATTTGTTTTCAGAAACATTCAAAACAGTTCACTATCAATTAAACAATGTGTCCAGTTTTATACAAAAAGCTGAGCACAGTAAATTTTAAAAGACACTTTTAAAGTAAAATAGAGGGCTGACTTGATCCAATGTCAATGTGCCAATGATGTAGAAGGTTGACATTTAACTTCACGTTCTAGCTGGCCCTGGGAAACTGCTGCTTCAGTCAGCCTCTGCCCTTAATTAATAATATGAGCATTATAAAACTCACCTTTTTTAGTGTTGTCATAAACCATCACAAGATATTTGATTGTAAATCCTCTAAGAGCACAACATAAATGTTGTATATATTAAGTGCTTTAAGGTCTCACTAAGTAGCAAGAAAGCATTTCCTTAAAAAGACAAGCTATTTTGACAAAATTAAGTAAGAAAGTTTGTCAGGAATGGGAATTTTGAGCCCTTTGAATATTGCTGTTCTTTGCTCCTGTATTCCTGTTTTGCTCTTTGGGATGTGAACACTGATAACTATTGTTGAGCTATCTTTATAGGCCATGAATACTCCTTGCTGGACTGAATGAGTGTTTTGTAGTATGCTATACTATGCTGTAAGTTAGATTCTTACAGTATAATAAGAATCTAACTGCTATTTTATGTACTTTATCAACCCAGTCAATATTTGCAGATGTGACGTAGAGCAGATTTCAAGGAGACAGAAAGAAGCTGGCCAGCTTTTCAACTAATTTCAGTAACTATGCCTTTAGTAGAATCAGCACATATTAGTACTCTTTATTTCTAAATAATCATATATGAGTAAGTAATATTCTTTATTTCTATAGGCAATTACTTTGAAATTGAACTTCTTCATGTTGGAAACTGTTGCTTATGTTTGAAATTAGGAACTTTGAGCAGCTTTGAAGTGTTTTCATTCTAAAGAGTTGTTTCAAATGTTTAAACAGTCTCATAATGATTAGGCAGTGTGTTTCAAATGCAAAGCAACTGTCTTAAAGCCAAAATATATATTTGAAATTTGAAACATTTTGTGCACTGTTATCTTTGGGATTTTTTCTTGCCCATATGAACAGATACAGATGCAACTCAGCCAAGGAATTCGTCCACTGTCTTACACTCCAGAATTTCAGTTCTACTGGTGAATTGTATAGATATGGAGCCACAGTAGAAAGATCCTGTATTACAACCATCCCTGCTCTTTTATGGAGACAGACTGAGAAAAGGAATCCTAAAGAGCTGTTTTAATGAGCAAATAGGTTCATCCCATGAAAAAATGCCCCTAAAATAATATAGAACTAAACCAGGGGTGGGTTCTACTTACCTTTACTACCAGTTTGTGATGGGGCTGCATGCGTTTTGATGACATCATGGTCAGTGGGCAGAGCCTCCCGCTGGTTTTACTACAGGTTCTATAGAACCGGTGCGAACCAGGAGCAACCCACCACTGAATTAAACTAAGTAACAGATTAATATGGGAAACAATCATTACATGCTGTTACGTCTCTGAACTAGGCAACTTAGTTCTACATATTTCAAAATCTGATCCCATTGCCTTTTATGTGTCAGTTGTGTAAATGTTAACAGAAGTAAATCCCCTGCATGGTAAATATACCTGGAACTGTTTTTCCAACTCTAGATCTTAAATTCGAGGCAAGTTTTACCGAAGCAATACAATGATCTTGGGTGATCATCTTAAAACTGTTGTGTTTCATATAGAAAATAAGCACTACAAGGAGACTCTTTGGGTCTTTCTGTGGGAGACTGTGGGTCTTTTTAATAGAGCAATATTTGGTGATGTGACCCTTCCCCCTCAAATTGGAATATCTCAAATGCAGGTTTATTGCATTTGAACTAGATTATCAGGAAGGATAAATTCTACAAACCAGAATTATCCTAAGGTTTTAGATACCACCAGGCATGTGATGGAACACATATTATCTATTCTGTCCTCTTCACATTCTTTCTTTTAAAGAATGATATTAAAAAGAGGGGCACAGTGAGAATCATAGCTTATGTTGTAAATCTAGCTAATTTGCATGTTACCTTTTTTGGAAGGAAAAAGGTAAGCATGTTTGTGTGCTCTTTTTCACACAGCCTTCCCCACTTAGCTTTTCATATTTCAAGGGGGAGGAGAATAAAATAGTGTCTATAGCCAAGATGTGTTCAGTTACAACTCCCATCAACCCAGTGTTGAAATCCAATTTTTTTTACTACCGGTTCTGTAGGCATGGCTTGATGGGCGTGGCTTGGTGGCGTGGCAGGGGAAAGATAATGCAAAATCTCCATTCCCACCCCATTCCAGGGGAAGGATACTGCAAAATCTCCATTCCCACCCCATTCTGGGGCCAGCCAGAGGTGGTATTTGCCAGTTCTCCAAACTACTCAAAATTTTCGCTACCGGTTCTCCAGAACCTGTCAGAACCTGCTGGATTTCACCCCTGCATCAAGCTTGATTCCATCACCAGAGGAAGCTCGACCAAAGACCTGACTGACATGCTGGATCACATTTTGACATCTTCTGATGTAGAGATGTAGTTGTATGGCTAAATATTTTAGTAAACCTTAGAAAGAGCTTCTTGTTTCCTTTTAAAATCCTTTAAAAAGAACTCTGTATCTCCTCCTATGTTATTTGATTCTACCTTCTACTGAAGTGCTATGGCATCCTGATGCTAAACACATTTACCTAGGACAAACACTGCAAAGATTTCAATCACACTTTTCAAAGAATCATGTAGTGCTTAAAAAAAAAGCAAGGGAGTCTTGGTCTGCCAGATGTTATCAAGGCCAATTAGTGTCTGCAGGGGCTCCTTCAGCAGCTCCTTCAGCAGCTACTAAAAAAGCTGGTGTATTCTTAAATCTAACATCCTCTGTGGCTGGGAATGAACCTCTTCATTTCTCTGTCAGTTAATAACAGTTAAGTTTTAAATGGGAGAAACCTTTTCTCTCTACTGCTTCTAGATATGTTAATACTGCAACCATCAGAATGAACAAAACAAATAATGATCTTTAAATTATGGAGAAATAAAGATTGCTGGAACCACATTATGCTAAACCAACTGACCAAACAAAAAACAAAAATAATCTTTCTGGCTTCAGAAAAAAGATAGGCTAGAGATATATTTCTCTTACCAAAAGATGCTTGTGGTTTATACCAGACTACAAGGAATTTACAATGACATATTGTATACAGCTTGTGTTCTAAATTCTAGATGAGTTTATAGTGTCTCAAGAAACTGATTCTGTACTTGTTTGTTAAGTGTTCAACTTGTAAAAAAGAAACATAAACATTACTACAAATATTTATTATTTTATTTTTATTATTAAAATTTATATGCCGCCCTTCTCCCATAGGACTCAGGGCACCTCACACAATAAAAACCACAACAATAAAATACTAAAAACCAGTCCAAATTTAAAATCCCCCAAGTTAAAACCTCATAGCTGGTCAGGGAATTTGCTGAAAAAGCCATGTCTTCAGGCCAGCGCGGAAAGTGCGGAGATCGGGAGCCGTCCGGAGATCGGTGGATAACCCATTCCAGAGGGTCGGTGCGGCCACAGAGAATGCCCTCATCCTGGGGGTCACCAGCCGACATTGTCTGGCCGACGGCATCCGGAGGAGGGCAGCTCTATGAGAATGCACTGGGCAGTGGGAGGCCAGTAGGAGGTAGTCCTGCAAGCACCTCGGGCCCATGCCATGAAGGGCTTTATAGGTAAGTACCAGCACCTTGAAGCGGATCCGGAAGGCCACCGGCAGCCAGTGCAGCTCGTGCAGGAGAGGTGTTGCACAGGAGTAATGGGAAGCTCCTGTAACAACCCGCGCGGCTGCATTCTGGACCAGCTGGAGCCTCCAGGTGAACCCCAAGGGCAGCCCCATGTAGAGGGTGTTGCAGTAATCCAACTGAGAGATGATGAGAGCTTGAGTGGCTGTGTGGAGGGCATCCCTGTCTAGGAAAGGCCGCAACTGACGCACTAGGCGAACCTGTGCAAAAGCCCCCCTTGTCACGGCCGTTAGATGATCCACCAAGGACAGCTGTGAATCAAGGAGGACGTCAAGATTGCAAGCCCTTTCAGAGGGAGTAAGCAACTCCCCTCCCATCAAAAGTGACGGGGTGACTAGATCAGGAGATGCCGGGATCCACAGCCACTCCGTCTTGGAGAGGTTGAGTCTGAACCTGTTTCTACCCATCCAGACCCGTACCGCCTCCAGGCACTTAGACATCACTGGGTTGATCCGGGGTGGAGATGTACAATTGGGTATCATCAGCGTACTGATGATATCTCACCCCAAAACTATGAATGATCTCACCCAGCGGCTTCATGTAGATGTTAAAGATGTTAAAATATGCCACAATCTCCTATAGAGAATAACCTCAAAACAAGGATGCATATGTGTGGTTGTGGTCCCATTGTGAACATGTGCACAAGTATGTTTAGATACCAGAATATTGTAAATAGACTCCAATTTTGAACCAGGAAATTCTTGGGTTAAAAACACCCAGTATCGTTACATTCATTTTCCTTCTTCCTTTTCATAGTACCACTATAGTCCTGCACAGCTAAGCATCTAAAACAATATGTTTGTTGCTATGGCAACTGTTGCCATTGCTTGATGGTCAGTGCCATTCTTTAGAGATCAAATTGAAGAGGCGGAGGTACTGTTTAGATGTCCCATTGCAGTGTGTTCCTCCTGTCAGTTATTCAGTTCCCCTTGATTAGTTATTTCCTGGGATTGGACCCTGTTGCCATGATGGGACCTACATCTCCTAGCAACCAGAAGCACAGTTGCCTTTAACTTGGCAACATTGGCCTTCCCTCTTCCTAATAAGACCTGGAGGGGCATTTCATTTCATCACCTACCCCAGAGAATAGGCATTGTGGTTACGTGATGCTAGCAGCTGATTTTAACCTAATCCATCATTATTTTCCGAAGACTTACATTATATATATATATATACACACACACAATTTATATTATAAAATACACACACAGAGAGAGAAAGAAAGGCCAAAAATGAGGAATTTAAAAAATTAGAAAACATAAAATTTGTTGGAGTAATTTTATATGTATATGTACATACATACATACATACTGTACATATATACTATATGTATGTATAATACAAATTTAGTGCTGCTTATTTGTAGTTTCCTTTGTATTCTATACCAGAATAAACATTACTTTTTCCTTACAGAGAATTGTTTAGTTACCAGGAAATACTCTGAAACATTTTCTGTACCTGAGATGAGGCATAACAGTTTTTAGAGATAGAATAGAAGAAGTAGTACAAACTAAATTTGTTTTATTTTGAAGCTAAGAGGACCAAAGATCTATTTTCCTTGCCTTGAAACGACCTCTGCAGGTCAATTATAAAATAGCACCAATTAGGGCCACAAAATTGGACACACTAATCTTTTGATGGGAGAAAACTATACAGATATCCAACTACTAATTATCAGATGTGGAGCTCAACTCTAAGAAATAAAGGGCTCTATCTCTGTTAGTTTTTGTGTGCACAGTTGTGTAACTATAATCAATCTGTTGCAATACCAAACCAGAGACGACCATGGCATTCTGTATTCCTCTTCATTTCTCAGTGGCTTCATATTAGCTCCATATTTACTATTCCTTGTCACTTGAGTTTATTTTTAGAGATAATGGCTGCATTCACAAAGCACACTAAACCAAGATGACTCGGCCGTATTTTAATCTAACGTTGAATTAAAAAGTTTACGTGGTCTCATTGTGTCATGTAAAGCAAAAACACAGAATTAACTGAATAGACCATTGTTCAAAAAAACCACTGGTCTATCAGCCAAATAGGGCCTATAGTCTAAACTACTTTCATTACTTTAAATAATAAGTCACAAGCTCAATTTTCTATTATTCTAAAAGATGGGAGAATTCATACTAAACAGATCTATAAATATTTTATAGAAATAAACTTTATTTTTAGATTGGATTACAAAATCAAATATATGTGTGAAAAACATTCATGAATTAGTGCAGAGAAGAGAAACAAAGACGATTAGGGGGCTGGAGGCTGTAACATATAAAGAAGGGCTGCAGGAATTGGGTATGTCTAGTCTAGTAAAAAGGAGAACCAGGGGCAACAAGTAGCAGTGTTTCAGGGGCTGCCACAAGGAAGAGGGAGTCGACCCAGTGGTGAAATCCAAATTATTTTACTACTAGTTATGTGGGCGTGGCTTGGTGGGCATGGTGTGGCTTGGTGGGCGTGGCTTGGTGGGCATGGCAGTGGAAGGATACTGCAAAATCTCCATTCCCATGAGTGGTGGGTTGTTCCCGGTTCTGTCTGGTTTGAAAAATAAAAGTGTAATAAAAGTGCTGGAAGGCTCCGCCCAGACGTCATAATGGACAATCTGTGCATGCGCAGAAGCTTCCACACATGCGCAGAAGCGCGCAAGTGCGCTCCCATTGCAAACCAGTAGTAAAGGTAAGTAGAGCCCACTCCGATTCCCTCCCCACTCCTGGGGGAAGGGTATTGCAAAATATCCATTCCCACCCCATTTTGGGGCTAGCTAGAAGTGGCATTTGCCAGTTCGCCGAACTACTCAAAATTTCCGCTTCTCCAGAACCTGTCAGAACCTGCTGGATTTCATCCGAGTCAACCTATTCTCCAAAGCACCAGAAGGAGGACAAGAAGCTAATCAAGGAGAGGAGCAACCTAGAACTAAGGAAAAACTTCCTGACAATGAGAACAATTAACCAGTAAGTGGTTTCCCTCCAGAAGTTGTGGGTGCTCTATCACTGGAGGTTTTTAAGATGAGATTAAACAGCCATTTATCCAGAATGGTATAGGGTCTCCTGCTTGTGCACTAGAAGACCTTCAAGGTCTCTTCCAACTCAGTTATTTTGCTATAACTACACAGAAATAAATATGGATTAAATCCAGTCTCCTTCTAGACAAGCATGGTTATATACAAATATATATATATATATATATATATATATATATATATATATATATATATATATACACATACACACACACACACACACACATACATACATATACATATATACATAACACACACACACACTTATTTATTCATAACAATTGTCTGCTATATATAAACCAATAACAGGAAACAAGGGCCACTTCTCAGCTTCCATAAGACCTTGAGAAAATTATACCAGGAATGTCCAACTATTTTGGCAAGTGGGCACATCTGGAATTTTATTGCAATATTATTGGTGCTACATGGGGAAAAGAATGTTTGACCACCCACAAACTCCTTGTCAGTAGAAACTGTTCAGATGGCCAAGCACAATACCCACAAAGTTCGTTGGATCATTCAAGTATAAAATGAAATACAGAAGGTACACCAATAATTGTCTATAGATAGTGGCTATTCCAAAAGAATTTTTAAGCTTGATATTAATATTCTTCTGCAGGCAGAACTGATTAAACATTTAATATTATTAAAACGTTCTTATAATCCACCTGCAATTAAATAGGAATAGTATTGCAGTTTGGACAGCACAGGAGCAAAGAGAAGGGCACACTCTTATTTTCTATTTAATAGAAACCTAGGAAAATAGAAATGCACATTGCAGCTGGAGAAAGGAAATCCATATGGATGTTTGCATGTATGTATGTATGTATGCATGCATAGGGGTGCAGTGGCTGAGCAGTTAAGATGCTGGGCTTGTTGACTGGAAGGTTGGCAGTTTGAGACCAAGTACCATGTGATGAAGTGAGCTTCCATTACTGACCCTGGGTCCAGCCAAACTCGCAGTTCCAAAGCATGTACATCCAAATAAATAGGTACCACTTTGTTGGAAGGTAAGTGTTTCATGCACTTTTGTCATATAATCATGTCAGCCACATGACCACAGAAGCCTCTTCAGACAACATCTGAGTTGTCAGACAAAATCATACTTTCAGGCTGCAAATTGTGGATAAGCACCCCCTCCTCCAAAAGTCAGACTGGCAGAGAAAACTTTATAGCCATATGAGTTCTATGCTTTTACCTATCAGGACATAGTAAAAATCATCTAATCCTTAGCCGTTATTAAAAGTAGGTATACTATATACAACCTCAGATGAACATCACTTGACATATTACATCATATCATTTATTTTACAAAAAGAAAGCCAAAATGGAGAAGCCATGTATGAAAAACTAAGTACACCTTATGATTCAATAACTTGTAGAACCACCTTTACCAGCAATAATTTGAAGTAACCATTTGAAGTATGATTTTATTAGCCTTTCACATTGTTGTGGAAGAATTTTGGCCCACTTTTATTTATAACATTCAGTTCATTGAAATTTGTGGAGATTTGTTTATGCAAGACTCTCTTGAGGTCTCCCCACAGCATTTCAATCAAGTTGAGGTCAAGACTTTGACTGAGCCATTGCAACACCTTCATTTCTTTTTCAGCCATTCGGTTGTAGATTTGCTGGTGTGCTTGGGATCATTGTCCTGATGCATGACCCAATATTGGCCAAGCTTTAACTGTTGGACAGATGGTCTTCCATTTGACTCTAGAATATTTTGGTATACAGAGTAGTTTATGGCTGACTCAATGATTGCAAGATGCCCAGGTCATGTGGCTGCAAAGCAAGCCCGAATCATCACCCCTCCACCATCGTGCTTAACAATTGATATGAAATGTTTGTGCTGATATGCTGTTTGGTTTTTGCCAAATGTGGCACTGTGCATTATGGCCAAACACCTCCATTTTGGTCTCGCCTGTCCAAAGGACTGTGTTTCAGAAGTCTTGTGATTTGTTTACCTGCAACTTGGCACACCTAAACTGTGCTGCTATGTTCCTTTTAAAGAGAAGAGACTTTGTCCTGACAACCCTTCCAAACAAGGCATACTTGTCCAATCTTTTTAAAATTGTACTACTATAGCATCAACTTCAAAATGCCAATAGAGGCCTATAGAGTCTGAGAAGTAACTCTTGGATTTTTTGCCATTTTTTGGAATGGTGCACTGTCTGACCTTGGGGTAAATTTTCTGGGATGTCCATTGTCTTGTGGCAACTGTTTTGAATGTTTTCCACTTGTGAATAATCTTCTTCACTGTAGAATGATGGACTTTAAATTGTTTGGAAATGATTTTATAACCTTTCCGAGATTGATGGGCAGCAACAATTACAATGATCTTCATGGATGACGTCTTTACTCCAGCATTTTGTTAATACACACCTCAATGCTCAGGACTAGTAAACTCCTAAAACTTTGGCTTTTATCGAGGTAGTCACGTTTGCTGATGATCAATTGATCAAGGCCTTTGATTAGCAGCACCTGCTTGCTACTTAGCCTCTTCATAAGTATGAAAACAATAAGGGTGTATTTAGTTTTTCACACATGGCTTCTCCATATTGGCTTTCTTTTTGTAAAATAAATGGTGTCATGGTGCAATGTCATGTGATGTTCATCTGAGGTTGCATTTACCTATTTTTAAGAATAGGTAAGGACCAGATGATTTTTATGTCCTGATATATAAAACTCAATACAAAATTCAAAGACTGTGTTTCTTTTTCACATGACTATCTTTTACATATATGTGTATCAATCTGTAGATGTGTGTGTGTGTGTGTGTGTGTGTGTGTGTGTGTGTGTGTGTGTATACAGTGCACAAACACATATAAAATATCTGTGCGTATATATGTGATGGGCAACAATATCTCTAATAAATAATACTTATTAACAATTAATCAGTGGAACAACTTGCCTCCAGATGTTGTGAATGCTCCAATACTGGAAGTTTTTAAGAAAACATTGGACAACCGTTTGTCTGAAATGGTATAGGCTTTCCTGCCTGAGCAGGGGGTTGGACTAGTAGACCTCCAAGTCAGGGGTGAAATGCTCCCGGTTCGGACCAGCTCGTAGGTAGCAAGTAGGTAGCGATGGCGGCAGGCAGTTCGGAGAACCAGTAGCAAAAATCCCTGCCCCCGCCCCCCCATGCCCAGTTGAGCCGCATGATCATCAGAGCCTTTCTGATGATCCCAGCTGAGTTGCCTGCTAACCGATAGCAAAAATTCCGCCCCCCCTTCCCAACCTCCAGCTTGCTTACCTTAGCTGCTGGTCGCAATGCCTGCCTTGCTTCACTTGCTGTAATACCTGCAATCCACTGCATCAGCAAGCAACTGAATCTCCCTGCCTGCAATCAAGCTCATCGGTGAGCAGATCTATCTGCCTGCCTGCCTTGTACCTTCTATTGCAGGGGTCTCCAACCTTGGCAACATTAAGACTTGTGGACTTCAACTCCCAGCAAAGTTGGCTGAGGAATTCTGGGAGTTGAAGTCCACAAGTCTTAAAATTGCCAAGGTTAGAGACCCCTGTTCTATTGGGTAAGTTTTTTTCCCCTTTGGGAGCTTTAAAAAAATAGTTAATTGGGGTTTTTTTTTAGTTGTTCTTTTTGTAGACCTAGCCATTTAAAGTTTAGGAAGTTTTAAATTTATCTGCTTTTATATAAAAATAAAAATAAATTAAAATAAAATAATATTTGTGCAGCTTTCTGAGATTTAGTGTGTTTCTGTAGTGTTTCACTCTAACTGCACAAACACACAAAATCTCACAAAGCTGTATGTGGAATTTTGTGTGTGTAAAGTGTGAAAGTTGGTTTTTTGGGCTTTTTGTGGCTGTGTGAGGTTCCTGCTTGTTGCAGGGGCCATTTTGGGTCTAGCACAGCTGCTTTTACATTGTGGGTGAGCCAGTTGTGTTGTGTTGTGTTTTGTAGGTTAAAAAAGGGCAAAGAAGTGACATTGACTTGGCTACGCCCACCCAGTCACCTTACCACCAAGCCCCGCCCACTAATTAAGCCCTGCCCACAGAACCGGTAGCAAAAAAAATTAGATTTCACTGCTGCTCCAAGGTCCCTTCCAACTGTTATTCTATTCTATTCTATTCTATTCTATTCTATTCTATTCTATTCTATTTATTTTTCTTCCTCAGAAGAGTGGAATATGAGGTCTTCTAAGCATAAAATTTCCCTCCCTGAATCGTTGCTCATCACCCACGCACACAGTGATGATAGATAGGCAGAGATTGCAACTTAAATATAAACAAGTTTAAGATAATAACAAACATCAACATATCTGAATCAGGGAATGCCAGATTTTTAAAATGTACTTGGGAGGAGGTACAAAATGTTTTACTGTTACTAATGTCTGCTTTAAAGTCTATTCCACCTTCCCTCCATACCCAATACGGGCATAATATGGCCATAATATGATTCCACATCAGTCAGTCTCTCCAACCAGGCGTTCTTCAATTCTATAGCACTATATTTGGATGTAGTATGACTCCCATTATCTCCAGCCATTAAAGTGGAATGTAATAGGATTTGTATTAGGCCGTTTCTTGGAGATTTCCTGCGCTTCCGCCACAGGCATATAGGTACTTCTAACCGTCAGTAACGCCCCTAGGCTTAACGCCCATTACTCAAGGCCACGCCCCTTTCCCCCCCTCCCTCTCGAATGACATCACCAGCTCGCGGTGAAAAAGGCAGGGCTTCGAATTCTTTCTCTTGATTTGCCAATGAGACAGCCTGTCAGAGAGTGGAAGTGGAAATAACGAGCTCCCGAGGAAGCGGAAGAAGCTGAAAAGAAGCCGAGGGCGGAAGTGGCTGCGTTTGAGGTTTGGAATTGGAGAAAACGGGATTCCGGTAGGCAGGCGGTGGAGTGTTTTCCGCGGCGGTCCCGCAGGCGGGAGCGGGTAAGTGTAAGGTTTTGTTCGGGAAAGACGAAAATCAACCCCTAAAACTCCTTCCAGTTTTAAATTCTTGCGAGAGGTCCTTTAATTTTCCCTCCGTCACACATTAAAGAGTGGCTTGGAAATGGGGTTTCTTAGCCTGGCAAGCCAAATGAAACTTCCATGTTCTGGGGCAGTCTATCTCTCACTACCTGTTGCTGGTAGAGGAGGACGTGAGAAATTCTTGGCTTCCTGGAGGCAATTAGATCACATTGCTGGAACTGGAGTGGCGTCTGCTTTGGTTACAAAAGGCTGCGCTGGGTTTGGGACTTGTTGACAAGAATCCTGTTGCTTTGCTTTGAGGATTATTAGGAATTGGAACCGAGTCCTTGACCTGAGAACTAAACAACATAATCGCTGATCTTTAAACAAAGCTATGGCGATAACAAGGGATGGTGCTGATTGTGGTGGGTGTGACATTCCTCACTGGGAATGCTTCCTTTCCCCCTTTTAATATGACTTAATTTATAGTTGATGACAGCATCTTAAATTTAGGTACAGCATTCATGCATGCAATCATTTTAATATGTTTTATGCCATATATTAAAAGAATAAAGGTGTTAGATTTGTATAACATTCTCTAGCTCTTACTATGTTTCATTCTGATCATCTTGTTTGTGTGTGTACTCCATCTTGAGGAGGTTGGTATATGGTTTCCATCTTTATCTTTTATATATATATATATATTGGTGTCTTCTAGTGATTATTGACTTCTGGCAACTGCTAGTAATAGCTGCTATATAAAATATTCTAGTTATACCAGAAGTTCATCATAAGCCTTGGGACAGTGTGAAAAATCCTAGTATTGCCTCTGATGGTATCCAATAGAGCAGGGATCACCAACCTTTCGGACCTCAGGGACCACTAAATTAATAATTTTAAATCCCATGGACCACTAATATGATCTGCCTAATGACCGACTGGGTGGGCAGGGCTAGGTGGTCATGTGACTGAGTGGACGGGGCCAATTCGATGTCACTCATATTGAGGGGCACCTGTCTGGCCTCTACTCTCCCCGCCCGGGTTCCTTAGGGCCCGAACAGGAAGCAGTTGTTGGAGCTAAGTAGCCGCCATGAGAAAGACTTGGCAAAACAGCTGGCTCAGCTCAAATTGGATCTGACCGAGAAGGGGGCTCAACAGAAGCACTTCACTGAGGACAATGAGCATAGGCTTTCTAAGCAGAGGAAGACCTGCGGGAGTACAAGGCAAGGCCAAGTACTGGCACCTGATGGCTCAGTGGGCTGAGATGGTCAGCCAGTTCCATGCCATGATGTTGTCCCACTGGAACAAGGCCCTCCGGCTCTTCGCCACTATTAGCACTTCCCTCCAGCCTTCGCCCAAAGCCCTGCACCAGGAGGCTGAAGCAGATCCCAAGTTGGAATTTCTGCCCTGCTTCAACCTGCACAAAAATACCCCGAAGGGGGAGACTCTCTGCCGCAATCCTGGCATGGGTGATTGCAAGGAGCTGGCCTGGGCCAAGGTGGGACTGCTGCAGCCCATCCTCCAGCAGCAGAACAAACTGCAAGGGAGATCAGGGCCCGGTCACGAGAAGTCCCATGCTCCTGGGAAGATGGAGAAGAAGCTCTCCACTACACTCTGGTGTACCTTGGCAACTGGACTGTTTCTTTCTGCCCTCCTTTGCTATTTTGTCTGCTGGATCAATGCAAGGGAACGTCAACCTAGCTTGACACTGAAGCGCTGTGTGCCCGGATCAGGTGCTTTCTCTCGGCTTCCCACCCCTCTCTGTTTCTGCGAGGCCTCTGGGTGGCCTCGAGGCCCAAGAGAAAGCGCCTGGTCCGAGCACACAGCCTTCCAGGAACCTCTTTTGTGTTCCTTCTCTCAAGGAGAAGCTTTGTGGTCAATCTGAGTGAAGGAAAAGGAAGACAGGCAGAGTGATGGTAGCTTGCTAACATCCGTGGGATGTCGGCAGGCCAGTGCACCAAGGTGGAGGAGCTGCTCTGGGACAACCAATGGGCCAGTCCTGTGACTAGAGCTCTGGAATATGGGACCGGCTGGACAGCTTGTGGTGGGGCTAGAAATCTCCACCGTAGAGGTTGGTATGTGGAACATTGCATGTGGTGCAATGCGCAGCCCTCACCTCCCGGAATGAGGTAATGGTGCTGTTGTGGCAAGGGGTGGCGGTGGCACAGGCAGGCTGAAGTGGCAGTGGTGATAGCTGGAACCTTAGTGTGTGGGAGCAAAATGCTACTTTGCGCAGCAACAGCATTCCACCTTCGTTGCGGTACATTTGGCCAGCTGGTGATGCCAAAGCAGACCTCATCTCCCGCCGTTTTGGGCTCGGAGCAGTAAGCCACATCCAGGAAGCACTACAGTGGAGAGAAGCAGCCAGTGTAGACTCTGTCTGCATGGCCATGAAATGGGATTGGCGTGGCCAGTTCTTGCCTGCAGCGTTGGCAGCCAGGATCGTGTCGCTGCTGCTGCCTGCTTCCACTTCACCTTTGCCAGGGCGGCAGGCACTAGAAGGGCACTGTCCTTGGCTGACCAGTCCTTCCCCGCCACTTGGTTTGGAGCGGACGGTGCTCCGCAGGCCCAGGTGTGGTGGGTGGGCAAGCAGGTGGAGCGAACAACCCGGCAGTTCGGGTGGCCTTTACATGGCTGGGATGCCTGCAGGATCCCTGGCTTCCGAAGCTGGCAAGGCCCGGCGTTTGGGCTCCAGCACACTCTTCTCCTCCCGGGCAGTGGGAGTTTCGTGCACTGTTCACTGAGACGTCTGCTCTCCTGTGACGGAGAAAGGGTCTGGAGCTACTAAACAAGAGGCCAAGCTAAGTGCTTGAAGGACCCCATCCTGTCACTGGGAGTCCAGGCACTCCAGTGAGCAGCGCGTGAAACTTCAGCCAGGCTCCTTGAGAATCAGAGTTTGCAGGGGTCGATCTAGTGCCCAGGCTGGCTACACCACAAATGTTCATTGCACATATCCGGCCCAGGGGCCATAGCTTGAGGACCCTGATTTAGTGCAATATAAAAAATGCAAATAACTTTTCTGCGGACCACCAAAGTTTTCTTGCAGACCACCGGTTGGTGACCACGGCAATAGAGTTCCTTCAAACTCAGAATATAATTTGGCCATAATGATCATGGATGATGGGGACTGTCATTCAAGAGCTATGGATATGAGGTTGGGAAAAGTTCCTGCAAGAAATGATCTTGGTATATGAGTAAAATAAAATAAGTGCATTTTATTAGTCATATACTTGTTACAAGAGAGGGCTGTAAAAGCACTCTGAAGCAGCATGTAAGTCTAAGTGCTATTGCTATTATGTCAAGTCTGCAACCTATCCTTCTGTAAACATGTTAAAATTGGTTATTTCAAGAACCCTGTGTTATAAAGCTTACATATTTCCCCAATGGGATAAATGCATGTACTGGTTGCAGATTGAAAATCTGGTGGTGAAACCTTTTCAGGTAACATTCATAAAGTGTTTATTTATTTTCATACATAATTAACTTATCAGAGTCATTTAATTATATTATATTGTATCTTAAATCTTAATGCTTCTTGCTGAAAACTTGATTTTTAACAGCTGAATTTCCATAGTAATTAAGCCATTTTTCCTGATTCTCAGGATTCTTTATTTGTGGCTAATTGCATTGTTTCCATTTTAATTCTAAACTATTATCTTGAAAACATTCTATAAACTGTACAGTGCTACATTTTTAATCCAAAACTCAGTTCAATATCATATTGTAATATTGGTCAAAGCTTGTAACACAAATTTTTTTTTTCCAAACCTTCAATTCTGCATAGTTAATCAGTATTAGCCCTGTTAGGCTGCTTTAGACAGCTGAAAGGGGTTAAGGAATTAGTTTGATTATGCCCAATTTCTGGATACAACCCCAAATTGGTATTTAGGTGATGTTGAAGGTATATTAAAATGGCAATTTAACAGTCATTTAATTTATACGCTTCTCTAACTTGCAAAATCCTTTTCATTTTCTGTTTGCAGCTGCAATTTTCTTCTGAAGTGAAGAACAACAGTATTCTTTACATATTAATAACTGACTTGCTCAAGGATTTCTCAGCAGATGATGATTCAAACTGACTGTTTGAATCGAATACTTCAGCTGTTGTAAAAAAAGAAACCTCTTTCTTTCCCTGGCTGAAATATTTTTCTCTTTCAGTTACAGCATTGTTTGCTGAGTCTCATCTTTCTATTGGAACTTGTGCCATTGTTGTAGGCCATGGCAGGTCGACGTCCTAATGGGCCAACTATAGGCAAGATCTGTCAGTTTAAATTGGTGCTCCTGGGAGAGTCAGCTGTTGGGAAATCAAGCCTTGTCTTACGCTTTGTAAAAGGACAGTTTCATGAGTATCAAGAGAGCACAATCGGAGGTAAGTGTCACAATCATTGATAAAGCTGTTCAGAATCTCTTTGAAATTTAGCCTTGTATAATGGTTAACAAGTATTTGTCATTAAGGAATTCTTTCTAAACTAACCTGCATAGAAATTTTTTGGGGATGGGCACAATTGTTAATTCTTGCTGATACCTTCCATCTGTCTTTGAATCATCCAGCATACTCTGTGTGTTGGACTACAACTCCCAGAATTTTCTAACAGAAAGTCGTGATTGCTGGGAATTCTGGAAGTTGGGAGACAAATCTAGATGGTAAATTGTTATTCAGTGGACTATGGCTACAGCGTCCATTATTATGACTACACAATGGACAAATAGACAAATTTTCTTACGATACTTTGTATGAAATGTTGGTAAGGTTGAAAGCCTGGATCCAAATGATCTCCCAGAAGAGTTCCCTTATTAATATAGTTTCTGAATGGAGCAACTTGGCAGAAGGATTGAGTTGTCTCCAGGAAATGCTGAGATTAGGATTATTTATCGCATTTACTCCTGGCGTAATGTAAGAGATTCTGGATGGTTTACAACAGATACTGATACAATGTAATAAAATAAAAACAAATATCAGCTAAATAATCATGCCTAACATGTTCCAGAAGTCCCTTTGAGATTTTTGTTTAGCTGTGGTTCCAATTCAAGTGGAAAGAATAAAAACAAAAAAGACATTACACGTACGTAGCCATGCAGAAACCTTGCTTTGTTAAAGTGTCATCTGGCTTGATGCCAATAGCTACATAATTTCTGTTCCTTTTTAAAATGTTCCTGTGACAAATGCCAAGCACATTGTATACCTTGGCAATTTTGTACACAAGTTTAACAGAGCAAGCTTTTCTGGCCAGGTTTGAGTCAAGTCTTTTTGACTAGGTAGAAGTGAAGAATCTGAAGAGAGTAATAGTTACCTAAGAATTTATTTTTATTTGGCTAGGAATCTGCATTCTATACATACTGAGATAAAGGAATTAAAAACTAAGGCTTGTGCCTCAAACATTATTTTTGTAAATCCCACTTGCCTGATGCCACAAGGAAGATGCGATTAGTTTGGCTTCAGTCACACATCTTAAATTAGTCTGCTTTTTCTGTACTTCATGATTTAAATGAGAGAGATGAATGAAGAAAAAAATCAGGAGTAATAAAGCACTTAGCAATCACCTCAGACAATTCTTGGTCACTTCACATTGGTTTAGTAATTCTGGACTGCTAAATATAATAAATGTTGCAATTTTTCAAACAAATAGTTATATTATGGGTCTGTTTGGCACTTAGGAAAAGCTTTAGAAGCAGCCACCAGAACACACCTTCCATTGCCAAGTTGATATGTTTAATTTGTCAGCATTATTTAGAAGGCACCTATAAATGATGGGACTTCATGTGAGCTCAAGACCCACTTTTGCATCATTGATATATGCCAGTCACAAATCAAAATGGACTGATACTCAATCCAGACCTCTGTCTGCAGGAAAGATTCCCCACCAGTGATGGTGAACCTTTTAGACACCGAGTACCCAAACTGTGTGTGTGCATGCCCAAACTGAAAGGTGTGCACAAATGTGCACGCGCTGACGTGTGTGTGCTAACATGCATGCACATGCACAGCAGAGACCCGAAAACCAGCTGGCCGGCAGGAGTTGGGGCATCCCAACACCAGCAGTGTGGCAAGAGGTAAGATCTTTTTCTTTTGTGAGCTTCTGTTTCATCGTTTGCAGGGAAACAGAAGTTCATGAGAGATCTGACCTGGGGCAATGGCGCACGTGCCAGGAGAGAGGGCTCTGTGTGCCACCTCTGGCACACGTGCCATAGGTTCGCCATCCCGGCCCCACACCAAGCTGCTCCCCCAACTAACATTATAATCTTCACAGTGAAGTCCCAAAATATTTTACAATTAAACCACTTCTCTCCAATCACAATTTGTTGCTGTGGCTTGTTGTAGGTTAATTTATTTTAACTTTACACTGTGAGGTCAATGTAGCTTTGGTTCATTTTTCGCAATAAATAAGCAAATACTGCACAATAGTTTTTGATTCGTTTGTTTAACTGGGTTCTCTTTATTTAGTTTTAGGATTTCTGTGAAGAGCCAAACGTATTTTAGGTCATGTTTAGGCACAAATATTGAAAATTCAAAAGGGTGTACAAATGTTAAACAACTGTTCTCCATTAGCAGAGTTACGTTTCAACTATGTCAGTGGGAGAAAATGTTTTCCAGATATATCACTGGGAAGAAAACTTCAAATATACAGCAGATGGGTAATTATTGGGTCAATACAAATTGTAGTCAAAAATTGGATGCTTTACAGGTGAAGAAAGCTCATTTCTGTGTAAAATATAGCCACCCCTGAGTGGAACCCAGCCTCAATTCCTCTTCTGACTATTCTTTAATCCTTCTGTATTCCAGCTGCTTTCCTCACACAGACCATTTGCTTAGATGATACAACAGTCAAGTTTGAAATCTGGGATACAGCTGGACAGGAGCGCTACCACAGCTTGGCCCCCATGTATTACCGAGGGGCACAAGCTGCCATAGTTGTTTATGACATCACTAATATGGTAAGGCTTTTATATACTAAGTCCAAAATTATTCCACATGGGCAACAGTGTTTCTTTACTGGTTTCATTTCCCTTGAGGATATGATATCCCAGGCATATATGAATGCATCCATTGAATCGATGGCATTCTAGCAGGGAACCCCTAATGTAGAATAGATTGAATTTCGTGCTATTTCACTTTAATATTGGGCCTAGTTTGCACAGTGTTACATTTCAAAGCAGTACAATTTCAGACAGCTTATTCTACAAAGTTTCTCTCTATACAATATTTAAAGATACAATGAAAGAGAAGGCAGGCTAAAGCCCTCATCTGCAGCATGAAGTGATGTAGCATTGACATTACTTTTTGGCCTCAGTAAGAACTAATCCTCACTTAAAACTGCTTTAACCAGGTACTGGAAATAAAATAGCCAAAGATGTCCTGATGCAGAGGTGGGCTCCTGCTGGTTCAGACTGGTTCAGGCAAACCAGTAGTTCCGACCACCGGCTGGGCCTGCCCACCTGCCCCGGTGCTATCCCATCTTATATATCTCACTCTCACACTCGCCCCGCCCACACAGCCCAGCTGATTGCAGTGCCTCGCCTGCTCTATCCACAGCGGCTGCCCGAGAAGGTGTGCTGGAAGCCACGCGCATGAAATTACCGTGTGTTTGAAGCGAGTTTTCAGTTCTGTACTAGGCGAACCGGTTGTTAAAGTATGTGAAGCATACCTCTGTCCTGATGTCTATAATTCTATTGAATGATCATACAACTTACAGAATTAATTTATGTTAAAAATGAAAATAGCCCAAATTTTACAAAACTGCCATATTTGGAAAGATCAGTATCTTTGGCCATTTTTAATTTTAGCTTAAAAGCATTGGAGAATGTACATAGGTACATGTTGAATTGTTGGATTTTTGTATTCTCAGCTTCTTTTTCTTCCTGGGGACATTTCATTTGCAGTCTTGGTAACATTGATGGTGCAGGAAGAGAAACAAGCTCAGAAGTATAGCTGAATGCTATTTTCATAGGGTGTATCTGTTTATTTATTCAATACATTTGTACTTCCCATTAAAAATATCTCAAAGAGGTTTATAAGTCTCAGAACATCTAAGCTTTCCTACACATTTGAAGTTAAAATCTAGCAATTTGATATTTTTGTATTAACTTTTTCATAAACAAAATCCCCCCAAAAATCATTTACATGTATTAAATATTGAATTACTTTTTGGCACATCTTCTTTTATCTCTTTCTCTCTTGTGCCCAGAAAGATAAACAATAATTCAGTGTTTAATGCACATGAACTAAGAATCATGGTTCACTACTGGAGTGGTAAATCTGTAGCCCTTCAGATCCTGATCTGAAGTTCCTGGTATCTCTTGCCATTATACATTAACAGCTTTTGCTCCCTGGATAGATGGGGGGAGGAAATTCATTCTGTGAGGCCCAGTTTGTCTCATACATGGTATACTACTCGAAGCTGTTCCCCAGTCCAAGTATGAAGGAGCCCCATCACTGAAAAATGCATTGTATGAGATATCACCATTCTCGGAGCAGGAGACATACGTATGTTAGAGTTTCAGGAGGTGAGAATTATGGAGCTGTGCTTGCTCTTCATAGGATACATTTGTGCGTGCCAAGAATTGGGTGAAGGAACTGCAAAGGCAAGCTAGTGCTAGCATCGTCATTGCCCTGGCAGGGAATAAGGCTGACCTGGCCAGCAAACGAGCTGTTGACTTCCAGGTAGGTGAGGGTATTTTCTACTGGGAAATAATAGCTTTTCCTTCTGCAGTGCACTTTTCTTTTTCTACATGAACAATAAATACCTTAAGATAGTTTAAGAATCATAAGGTGGTTAAGTACTATTTTTCTCCAAACCCAATTGTATCCTTGTCAAATTTCACTCTTTGCGTAAGGACTATTAGAGGTGCCTTCTCAGAATAATTCCTCAACAAAATGTTTTGACTGGGGAATGATCTAATACAGCGGTTCTCAACCTGGGGGTCGCGACCCCTTTGGGGGTCGAACGGCCATTTCACAGGGGTCGCCAAAGCCCTCTCTCCCCCCCCCCCCATGCCTTCACTCACCCTCACTCTCTGTTGGATTGCCGGCCATTCGCTTACCCCGCCCACTCCCAATCTATTGCTGCCTCCTGAGTCCCAGCTGATGGCTAGAGGAAAAAAAAACTGTTTAAATTCTTGCCGCGGGGCTCTGTTAAATTGCTGGCTCGCCCCGCCTCTCCACACCACTATTTATTGCTAATAAATAGTGGTGGGTGAGGGGCGGACGAGCCAGCAATTTAACAAATGGTTCAGTGTTTTTTTGTAATTTTATTGGCCCGCGGAGCTTCAGCATAGGCTAATTAGCCCTTGATTAGATCGGCTCCCGACTCTCAGTTGATTTGCTCTCAGCTGTTTTGCTCAGGGCTCTGCTGCTTGCTGGAGAGATTTTTTTTCCCCCTAGCTATGCTGAAAAACGAAACTGAAAGCAAAGCAGGCTGTTGGCTTTGCTGTTGCTGCAATGTTGGAAAATTAGCTAGGCAGATTTCTTTTCTTTTTCCTCACCAAAAAAGGTAGGTGCAAACAATGGGAAATTTAGGGAAAAAGAGGAGAGTTCAAGATTTTAAAACACAAAAGAAAAAAAGCTCTATTTAACTAGGGAATTGTAATAATTGAGATACTATTAATTGTATATTGTGTTGAAAGCAGAAATGGTTAAGTTGTGGTTTGGAGGAAAATATGGGGGAAATTATTTGGTTTATTATTATTGGTAAATATAATTAATTGATTTGTAAGAAATTGGATTGCATGGAAATAATTGGAATATAAATGTTCATATTGATTAATATACAAAAAAGGTAGTTATATAACTAATTGATTTATATTAAATGTTGAATTTATATTAAGCTGTAATATTACATAATTAACCAATGTGAGGATGAATATAAAAATAGATGACAATGGGAAGGGGTATAATATAGAATAGAAGGGAAAATTGAATTTGATTAAGATTAGAGATGAGGATGAAGGGTAATATTGGTTTTTTACAAAAATAGATGAGGAATAAATGTGGCAAAAAGGAAATATAGAAATTGTAAATTTAATTGAAATGACTAAACACTGTTTAAATTTGTGAACTGGCCAAATACTCTGTTCAAAGAAAATACATTGTATGTTTGTATGTGTGTTTCTAATTATTGTTATTTATTCATATTTGTTCTCTTTTATTCTTTAAAGTTTAACAATTCATTCTTTATCTTAATATCTTTATATTTGTTTGGGGCTGGCTTTCTTCCCTTTCATCTTTTTTATTGTACAGCAATCTTTCTCCTCAAACCTACCACCTCTCTTTTCTTTCCTTCTTACGTTCTCTTCCTCCCCCTCTTCTTCTCCTCCCTACTTCCTCTTCCTTTCTCCTTCTCCTCCTCTCTTCCTCCCTCTCTTACCCTCACTCCTACTCTAATTTCCCTTCCCTTCCTTCATCCCTCTCTATTGCTGTATCCTTTTATGCATATGGACTACTCAGAGGGCTGAAAAAGTTATTTCTGACTGGTCCTCGCACTTTTGACCAGTCCTCGAACTTACGACTGTCCTCACATTTTACGTTTTTGCCCTATCTTGTCACCATGGTGAAGAGAAGCAGTTGTGAAATGAATGACATGGTTGTTGAGAATGCTGCACGGGCATAAATGTGAGGATGGTCATAAGTGTGAGGACCAGTCAAAAGTGCGAGGCCCAGTCAGAAATGACTTTTTTCAGCCCTCTGAGTAGTCCCTATACACATAGCCATGGCCACCCGGTCACATGACCAGCTAGCCACGCCCACCTAGTCACATGACCTCCAAGCCACGCCCACAAAATAAGCCACGCCCACAGAACCGGTAGTAAAAAAATTTAGAACCCACCCCTGGTTGGGGGTCACCCCAACATGAGGAACTGTATTAAAGGGTCGCGGCACTAGGAAGGTTGAGAACCACTGATCTAATAGATCTAATACCATAAGCCAGTGTTGGCGAACCATTTTGGCACCGAGTGCCGAAACAGGAGTGCGCACATGTGGGGGAGCACTGAAAACCAAAAGAGCAGTTTCCTGGCACGCATGCATGCCGGGAAGCTGAGCTTCCAGTTTCTAGCTTGCTCATGCATGCAGGTTACCTGGTCTTCCAGTTTCTGGCACACATGTGAAGACCAGCTGGCTGGCGTGCATATGTATGCTGGAAACAGGAAGCTCAGCTTCCCAGTGCGCGCATCTATGCCAGGGAGCTGCTCTTCTGGTTTCTGGGCCTCCTGTGGGTGCGAAGACCAGCTGGCTGGCACACAGAAGAGCAACAAGCGATGGCTGGTGTGCCCAGAGAGATGGCTCTGTGTGCCACTTCCGGCATGCGTGCTGTAGGTTTGCCATCACGGCCATAAGCTATGAATCAAGAAAGCTTAGTCATTTCATTTTTGTTATGAATTTGCTAAACAGGTTTATTGATAAAATTTGATGTGTTTTTTTTAGGCATGATTCTTACACGTATTTTCAACAACCAACAAAGCATTTCAAAATACAAAAAAAATAACTTCATGAAAAGTATTAATCCACTAATCTGAGAGAAATTGCCTTTTTAAAACTATTTGTTATTTGTTATTTACACATTTACAATCCAAGGGTAATACTAACTTGTTTGTACTTTGGACTACTGCAGCTAACTTGTGTAAAGCTGCTAGATTTAGCAATATATCCTTTACTTATTTCACACCTCTTATTCCTTGGTTGGTACAAAGTTGCGTGTAATCAAAAATTTATTAAAGTAGGCATGAGCATTTTATAGCTTGAATCCCTAATTGTCCTGGAATCATTTTTTGACTATAACTGGTCAATATTCCCCTCCTCTTCCCTTTAATTTGGAAAGATGATGAGTTTACTATAGCACCCCCACTTTCAAGGTTTTCAGCAGAAGTGGGTTTAAACCTGATTTCTTTAATCCCAGCCAATGAAATAAGACACACTATTTGAAAAAAAAAGCAAAGAACTGTAGAGCAAGCAAAGAACAACAGATCAAAGAACTGTTTTCTCTGAGATTCTTCTGTAATAAGAATGGTGACTTTGGCACATCTTGGCTTAAATTTCAGAGTAATTGTAAAGACTGTTGAGAAATAAAATGGAACCCTTTGTTCCCACTAATATGTACAGTAATTATCACAGTCAACCTAATTCTGGGAATTATCAAGCATATTATATCTTAACACATTAACATGCCTGGTCAATATTTCTATATTTTATCTGTCCTGTAGTCCCTCTTTGGAAATGTGGATGGCTAGAGCTTTTCGGTCAAAACTTGGTAGAGGGATTGTATTTATCATATTCCCAATATTTTTTAATGACATTGATATGATCTAGCTATAGAAGAAACCAACCAAGCTTAGAAAGATTAAATGCATCTCTTTGAAAATTCTGACATTGCTGACATGATTGCTTACAGGAAGCCCAGATCTATGCAGAGGACAACAGCTTGCTGTTTATGGAAACATCAGCGAAGACAGCAATGAATGTGAATGAGGCTTTTGTGGCAATAGGTTAGTCAAGGGGAAGAGAAAGGCAGCTTGAGGAGGGTATCTTCTCCAACTACTGCCATGGGATACACCAAGGAAACTCTTTCATGGATAGTAATCTAAATTCTCAAACACTCTGCAGAATTTTAACAATATAAATTTGTGGTAAGTTGCAGGCCTAAGCAAAGGAGGACCTTTCTGGTGTTGGGTAAGAGTATAGGCTCTAAAATTGTAGCCTTGCACTCAGAAACCTGCAAGAGGGAAATAGAGACAAGGCAGGAAACGGAGAAATTAATAGAAAGGTGGGTGTAAAAATAATGGGTTGAATGACAGACTGAGTCAAGGTAAAAAGAAAACACAGGAAACTTATAAACTATGGAATAAGAAGGTTCAACAGCTGGGGTAAAATGAGTGGTTTAGGAATACATCTCTCTAAAGTGTATTTTGGGAATGTCAGTCTCCCACTAAATTACAACAGGTACATTGGGCAGGATTAGCTGGCGATCTGAGTTAATCTCTTCCCCCATAACCATTTTTTTGGGGGGTGGCTTTTAATTTTTCCCATGGAGTGAATTTAAGAGCCAGACTCCTAAATATACCCTCCTCTCTCCCCCCAGCAAAGAAACTTCCCAGGAATGAACCACAGAGTGCAACAGGAACAGCAGGCAAGAATCTAAATGTCAGCCTCCAGGAGAGTACCCAATCCAGCAAGGGGCAATGTTGCAGCCACTAAGGATTCCTGTCTGGCAGCTCAAGTTGGAATGTGTCTGAATCAATTGCACGTACAGAAGACCAGCTGCCAGGATCTTTTTCCTTTCTCCTCCTCCATTGAGATTTTTTTTTTCCTCATAGAATGGGGAAGGGGAGCATAGCAGAGGCCATTCCTCTTCTGAACAAACAATAGATTTGTTTTTTTAAAGAAGCCTTTTTTAAAATACAGATGAACAATGGCACTCTTCTACATCTTTGTGGGTGGACAATGTGTGCTTTCAAAACCTTGATCCCTCTTCCTTTCTGCCTTTTATCTTCTGAAGGGATTTATACTCTTGCATTTGCTCAGAGCTCCATGGAAGAAGGGACATCCTTTCCTGAGACAAAATATGTCTATAACATCTGCTTGGTGGTTCTTTAGGGCTGTACCCTAAAGAAAAATAGAAGTTATAGCCAGGGGAGGTTACATAAAATAGGAATGAGTTGCAGAAATATTATGCACATTTTTCTTTGAAAGTTTGGTTCAGAAATGACATACAAGCCTGTAAAAGACTATGTTACAGAAACCTGAAGGTAACAGTGATTTGAAGCTGTAGTATTGATAGATAGAAAAAAACCCAGTGGTGGGATTCAGCCAGTTTGCACCCCTTCGGGAGAACCGGTTGTTAACTTTCTGAACAGTTTGGCAAACTGGTTGTTGGAAGAAATCATTAGGGCAGAGAACCGGTTGTTAAAATTACTTGAATCCCATCACTGGAAAAACCCATAGCCTCTAAGCTTTGTATTGACCAAATTTGTAATTATGAATGTTTTTGAAGAACAATAGAAACCTAATTTTCCTCTTTTGTATTATAGTTTCCAGCATTTAACAAATCAGTATCTTTTAATAACATATACCAATTAGTCCTTTATCCTTCTTAGGTTTCACTGGACTTTTGGTATGCCAAATTTACATTAACCTATTATTTACATATTGGATGTAATGCACTAATTCAGCCTGTTAAATATATAAAATGATCATTTTTTACAAGTAACATTATGCTATTAGTAACCCTATCAGGATGTTGGGTGTGTCAGTGAAACAGGTTGGTAGAGTGTATTCAAGCTGGGGAGGGGAGCAATGATAGGTATTTTCATATACACAACATTACCAATATTGGTAATGCAAAAGGGGTTTTGTTTCTGAGCTAGTGTCCAGGGCAATTTTTGTCTTATGCATATTTGTATTTAAGACTGTACATCAGTATCTTCAAGGCAAAGCTCCAGTTGTGTATGAGTTAAAAAATAAATTTTTATAAATCAAGTGTTGAACATACTTGAATCATTGTTTTTGCACATCAGCTTACATAAATATTGGTTACTTTCTAAATTTAACATTTAGTTTTTGCAAGTGTTTTGTAACTTTATTTACTATGACTCCCTAAAATGATTGATCATTTTTGCAATCATTTCCTCATGAATATAACTGATGATTTAAAGAGGGTTAAGACTGGAAAGAAAATAAAAATAGAAGATGGGTAACTTTCACCACATTTTTGATAGGTAAATCATCTTTAACTTTGTCCTAGTATTCAACAAATACTTCATTGAAAATTACCCATATATCACAAAGTGGTCATATTCAGAAATAGCTCTGCTCAGACAATACTCCTATGCCTGTACTTTCCCAGGGCAAATTTGATCAGTTTTTATTTTTAAAAAAAACCCACCTACAACTCTACACATACACCCCTTCCCCTATTTGCTTGAGGATCATGACCCAGTTTGAGAATTCATGCTTTACAGTTTGGAAATCTGAGGTACTATGTACAAATAACGCTAATTTATATTGTTTAAATTCTCCACTATTGGAGAAATGCTACATTTTTATTTTATAAATATGAGAAATAAATAGTCCTTGCATATTGTCCATGGAAAATACTTCCTTTGGAATTTCTAGAGTGCTGAAAATTAAATTAGGAGGGAATCTGAAGAATGACAAGAGGATGGCTGAAAGCTGAATAGGTAAAGAAAACAGCTTTAAAAAAGTTATCACAGTCCAAATGATAAAAATTGTGTTTTACGGTTACATTCATTTAAAGTAATTTAAATGAACAAAAGTGGTAAAATACTCACAACTATTCATTTTTGGCCTGCAGAGTGCTACTAGAGACAGAGGAAGTGAAAAACGGGGCACGTGAACGCACTGGGAGGCCAAAACCAGGCACATTTTAGCCCATTTTTGGCCTGCAGATTGCTTCTGGAGGTGGGGGAGGTGAATAATTGATTCAGATGCCCCGGGAGGCCAAAAATGGACCTGTTTTAGGCCTGCAGAGTGCTATTGGAGGCGGGAGAGGTGAAAAATGTAGTGCGCATATGCCCAATTTTGGCCTCCCCCCACCTCCAGTAGCACACTGCAGGCCAAAAACGGGGCACACAGAGACCTCCCGGGGTATCTGCATGCCCAGTTTTTGGCCTTCCTCCGCCTCCAGTAGCACTCTGCAGGCCAAAAATGTTGGCCTTACCTTCCAGACTGTGAATTGGCCCCCTGTTTAAACAGTTTGAGGACCCATGACTTAAATACTCTTGGATGGGTATTCATTTTCAAGCATCTTTCAGCTGTAGATCTAAACATTAAAGCGAAGCATGAAAATGACTGATATATCTATAGACATTATATCTATAGTTGAAATTTAAACTATAAATTTTGTTAAATACTCATATCCTACAAAAGAAGTCTATCCTTGCCAGCATTCATTCCACTGTACAAATGAATGAGATGTTCATTTACAACAGATACAAAATTTGAACATTACAAAGGAAATCAGAAATATTTGTTATACGTATTTTTCATTCTTTGCTGGTTCTATATTCACGGTTCTATATTCACGATTAGAAAAACAGCATTTGTCTTTTTAAAAAATACAATATTATGTTTCCCAGTGGACAGCTGTCTTTTCCCATTAATGTATAGAAATACATTCCCCAGCATGCAACTGATGTCAGGGAGCATGCGCAATAGCGCTCAACACCCATAGACAAAGGCCCCCTCTCAGCTTCTGAACATGCTCAGTGGCAGCCACGCGCCCACGCCGTCTTGCAGGGTCTTGGGCATCATGGCGGAGACAGAGGTCTCGCAAACTACCCGGATCCCGCAGACTAGCGCTCCTTCCTCCGCCACCTCCTCTGCAGTTACAACGCCGCCGGTAGTAGGGGGAAGCGGAGCTGGAGGAAGCACCAGTGACCCGGTCCGTCCAGGATTAAGTCAGCAGCAGCGCGCGAGCCAGCGCAAGGCGCACGCGCGGAGCTTCCCGCGGGCAAAAAAGCTGGAAAAGCTGGGAGTATTTTCAGCATGCAAGGTACGGGGGCCTGGAGGAGACAAAAGAGTTTGGGACTTCCTTCGGGTGTGTGGACCAGCCATCGTTGGATATTTTCTTCCGGAAAAGATGCTGTAAACTTAAAAAACATAAACGCATGCAAATTCCTGCCAGTTCATAGGTTCAAGATTTTGTTTATGGAACTGTCCTGTGCTCTGGGCCCTTCTCAGTAGCCGACTTTGGGATATAAGGAGTTGCTCTACAAATCGGTGGTTCTTTTGGCCTGTTCGGCTACTCTGATGGGCACTAGGTGGCTCTCCAAAATCTAGACAGGTCTTTTGCACCCATTCCAACGATCGTCCCTTGACCAGTAATAGTAGGAATTAAAAGCATGCAAATTTTTGCATGCAAGGCATATATAGTCTTTTGCTTAGCTATACCTCCACATCAACTTAAAATTTAAATCAGCATACTGATTTTAATCACATCCATCAAATGGTTCCCGAGAAACATACCTGCCTAATGAAGATACATTTATTTGTCTAAAAGAGAGAAATTCTGTTCTTCATAAGGTTTAGCGTTATCAAGACATTAAATGCCACAGGATTTGCAACCTGATATCCTTAGTTTTAGATCATATTATTTACCTTATTTGCCCAAAATATATTAAGTACACTTTTAAAATGCATTTTTTTTAAAAAAATCACTTTTATGTGATTAGGAAAAAAACATCTATCAAAGTTATATTTGACTTTTTCCCTTAATGAGAAGAAAACTAGCAAGCTGATAAAATACTTTTAAGAGGAAACGAAAGTATAGTGTGGGTTGTATAGAAGGCTTGATTTGCAGGTTATTGAATATTCAACAGATTATAAAGTAATTTGCAGTATTTATAGTAAATCTTTGAAGATACTTGCTGTGCCATGATGACAGTGTGGTGCCTTGGAGGGGGCTGCACATACACACCTCTCAGCATCCCTTTAAAGAAGATGCATCTTTTCCTAACTTGCACTGTAGCATTCTGCATCCCTAGAATACATATAACAATACACAGAGAGGGTGACTGAATGTATACAGTAATAACAACCATTAGCAGAGTCAAACAGGATGTTAACAGGATATGAAGTTGCATGCATTTTTCCACCTCAAGAAATATCACATTCACCCATTTTATCACTGACAATATTATGAGGAGCAAGAGTACATGTGGGAAATGAGAGAAATTGATTTCTGTTTTCTCAGAAGTGAGACAGAAATGCTTTATGTGTCTCTCTCTCTAGTCTTTTTGTGTCGAAAGGCCATTATTTTTTTTAATAAAATGAAAAACAGAAACAGTCAAAGACCTTTGAGAAACATTTCCTGCAATAATGCTGGAGTAATGAACATTCAACAAAGGCTTACTTTATAAAGTAGCTTTATGAGGCAGCACATAAAGATACACTAAGGGAGGAAAATTGTGACCTCTCCATATATTATTGGAAGACAACTATTCCTGATCATTGCCTTAGCTGGAGTTGATAGGGACTCCAGAATTACCAACAAATGTAATTTTTAGAAGTGTCAGAAATGAAAAATTGTACACAGGGAAGGAACATACCTATTTTAATATATTTTATATAACTATATTAATTACATCAGTTTAAGCCATGCATGGAATATAAATGTCTATGCAACTCAGTAAAATTAAATGTTTTGCTGTAGAACATATTCATAGAGATATTTGAAATTTTCTTATCTCCTCAATGTACTTATAAAGCTGTCAGGTTCATGTTTGTTTTCTTAGTATTCTTAAAATGTATTTCCTCCATAATATATAATGCTGCCATGTGTTGTATAGTTCAAAAAACTGAACACTCATAATTCACTGCCAGGAAGTCAGATAAAGGCTATATAGATAGTCCTTGAATTGCAACCCTAATTGAGCCAAAAATTTTGTTGCTAAGCAAGACAGTTGTTAAGTGTGTTTTGTTCCATTTTATGACCTTTCTTGTCACAGTTGTTAAGTAAATCAATGCAGTTGTTTAGTTAGTAACATAATTAAGTGAATCTGGCTTCCTCATTGACTTTGCCTGTCAGAGGATTGCAAATAGTGATCAAATGCCCTCAGGACATCGCAATTGTCAGTTAGCAAGCAATTGAATTTTGATCACGTGACCGTGGAGATACTGCAACCATCAAAAATGTGAAAAAAGGGTCATAAATTACTTTCTTCAGTGCTGTTGTAACTTTGAATGGTTACTAAATGAATGGCTGTAACTAGAGGACTACCTGTACGCCTATTAGTGTTGATCACTTTAATTAGCTTTTAATTTTTACTGCTACTTCTTTTGTATATATTTATATCACACCATTTAATCCTGTAGTATCAATATTTTAAGGTTTACAGACTAATATTAGTTTCAAAGTTCACATAAATTTTAGTAAAATGGGTAGTCTTTGACTTACAATATGGTTCATTTAGTGACTGTTCAAAATTACAATGGCACTGAAAAAAGTGACTTACTATCATTTTTCACACTTATGACCATATTAGGATCATCATGATTGTGTGATCAAAATTCAGATGCTTGGCAAATGGTTCAGGATGACTCAATGGACTGAGATTAGCTTATCACTGCACTTTAGCCAGGTTTGATTTGCATGGCCTGGTAAATCTAGCATTATCTGTGACAGTATATCTCCAGCCAATCAGGGGCATCATGAATGAGGAGTGAATTGTTAGTTATTTCAATTGTTAGTGTTACAAGTAGTCCTTGACTTACAATAGTTCATTTAGTGACTGTTTGAAGTCACAACAGCACTGGAAAAAGTGATTTATGAGCATTTTACACACTTGACCTTTGCAGCATCCCCATGGTCATGTGATTTATATTAATATGCTTGACAAGTGAGTCATATGACCACTGCTCTGTCCCAAGATCATGTGATCACCTTTTGCAACCTTTGACAAGCAAAATCAATGGGGAAGCCAGATTGACTTAACAACCGTGTCACCACTTATCAACTG